CAGTGACGGGGAGCCTGGGACCGGTGCCAGTGACGGGAACCTGGGACCGATGCCAGTGACGGGAACCTGGGACCGGTGCCAGTGACGGTGAACCTGGGACCGGTGCCAGTGACGGTGAACCTGGGACCGATGCCAGTGACGGTGAACCTGGGACCGATGCCAGTGACGGGAACCTGGGACCGGTGCCAGTGACGAGAAACCTGGGACCGGTGCCAGTGACGGTGAACCTGGGACCGGTGCCAGTGACGGGAACCTGGGACCGGTGCCAGTGACGAGAAACCTGGGACCGGTGCCAAGGATGAGGAGCCTGAGATCCCCGACCATGAAATGGGAACAAAACCTGTGACCAGATACCGGGACCAAGACAGCAAAGTTCACACCGGGACCAAATCGTAGGGTAGAATGGACCGAGGACGACAAACCGGGATCAGATACAGCGGGCACCGAGGGTATGTGCGACCATCGCCTCAGAAACAGTGATCGGGGAGGAAGACCGGGAAAGTTCATTCACCAACACCACCAAAGCCGCATGAGCCGTCATCGGGGACCTGACTGATAATAAGTGAAGGCCCTGCATTCTTCGGCCGATGCCGGGATAAAAAACTCCTTGGCAAAATTAGGTGTGCGGGTGGGTGGGGCGGGGGGAAGGCATGCCACAAGTCGCTCGTCGGTGCACTCAGGCGACCTGATCGGTGAGGTCGATGAGTTTTGGGCTGTAACACCCCAGCAGATAACATACCTCCCAGAGTCCCCACTATCACCCAGCCGCCTACCTTGATGGGCGACTGGACCTGCGCGGTCAGCACGACATCGGCGCTGAGGTTAAAGGTCGACTTCAGGTTGATGACGTCAGGCACGTCGAGTGACCGCAGTTGGATCGGGTCATGGTCCGTGCCGCAGTTGGAGAAGGTCACGAGCGTCACACGCTGGGGCTGCAGCAGGCGTCAAACGGCGTTGATAGCTTGCTGATGCGAATAGAAACACAATACTATACAATACAATCAAAAATAAAAATAACACAAGCGAGTTATGCATAGTTCATCTAGAGCTGCAAAGCAAATAACCGGCGTTCTTTTTTGTCATAAGTTCCAGTCGAAGGTTTTAAGTCCTTTTACATTTAAGCTTGATGTGTAGCCACACCTGCATGTGACGCTACGCTGCACAAAAACATCCCTCTCTCCCTTGTCACGCCGCCGTCACGTTCGGTCCGTTCCATCGAAACCCCCTCCCTCTGCACGCGCGACGTAATGTATGGACGGATCCCTTTCACAGACAAGCGGCTCTCGTCGCCACCAAGCGGACGGCCGTTTGTTTTTGTACGCCGGCTCGTTCATAGCCGACGCCACCCCGCCAGACCAGCCGCGATAGCCATCTGCTGTGCGTGGCGAGACAAAGGCGGGGGTCGGAGGCGAACGGACGTGGGTCGGAGGGTGGAGCGCGACGGCTCATCGTCAGTCCGTTCACGGGTGCGCATGCTCGGCGGCTGTTCGTCGCCCCAGCGAGCGCACTGTGACACTGAACCGTTTTAGTCTCTCTATGGACTGGTGCCATGGACGTGCGACGTTTTTCGAGATTTCTGTCCCGCGCTTATTAAGGAAGACATGGCACCCAAGAAAGAAACGTCGCATGGTTAAGCTCACGATATCATGGCAAACGGCTTAGGCATGCGTCTTGCCACCTGTGACGCAGCATTTCACGCAATGTAGCGTATTAGCACAACGGAAAGCCAGTCTAACATCTGAACGCAACGATCGCCTGATCGGATATAAACATTCAAAACACGTGCAGAGCCGACTGTGGCTTGGCACGTGAGACAAAAGTTTTTTCGAGCACTGGGTTCCTTGAATGGATGAATGGGTGCGTGGACTCTGACCTGACATGCAGAGACCAATCGTGCAGCATACCCAACGTACTCACCCGTGCATAATGAACCTGCTTGTCGGCACTGTTGACACGTCCAAATGGCGGCAGCTCATTCCGCCAGCGCTCTTGGGGGTCGTTGCCCGCCTTGTTCGCCTCGTACCGCGCCGCTGTGCCGGCTACCAGCAGGATGACGGCAGCAGCGCTCCACGCCAGACCTCGCCGCCCGGACATGATCGCCAGAGTGACGCTGGAAGCGAGCGTCCCTTACCGCCCGCGGTGGCCGGAGACCCCCCCCCCTCCCCCTCCGCCTGCGGTCCGGCAGGACGGGTCGGAGATACGCTGCCGGTCCGGCATTACGCCACAGGACGCTGGCCTACGCGGGATGTGACGTCACGACAACTGGAGGGTCGACGGTGTTGTTTTGAGTCCGGAAAACGGCGGAAGAGGCGCTGTGGGGACGCTGTTACTCCAGGCATGTTGATGATACAGACAGATGAGTAGCATGTGTGAGAGCTCGGCGGTTCATGTGTCGGATGACAGACAAAACGCCGCAGCAGCTCATGCTGGCCTCGACAGAATCTCAGCAGAGTGGGCGGAAACAACTTGCCAATCTTGCCAATCTTGCGCCCGTAGCGCCTCCGTCTTCCTACCAGCAACTCGGTGGTGAGTCGGGTCTCCAGCGAGGATGCGCCCGCCAGGGCTGCCCCGGCTGCAGCGTGGATTCGCGGCGAGGAGTGGGTGGAGATCCGCGTTCACCGTCAAACGGTCTCGGTGCTTCATACGAAGGGAGGAAAAGATGTGCTGATGCTTAGTTTATTACTGTTCACAAAATACGACAGTGACCGGTGGGATCAAGCACTGAGTCTATAACACACTTAGCGTATTGCAGCCGCGGCAAAATACGTTGATTAGTGAAACCCAGCAATACTTGCCTGAAAAAATTGGCGTTCGAATGTGATTGTAGGAACATGAATAACTGCAGTTAAATGCTGTTCATGGCACTGTAATTTATCCAACATAAGACGACGACAAAGCACGCATGCACTCGAGCTCCAGGATAACCCACCTCACAACGGGTGCTGCCCTCTTTAGCCCATCTCGGGGAGGCTACCGTACAGAGCGCCCAGAGCGGACACTCGTATAGTAACACTCTACTCAACGAGTGCGCGGGGCCGCCAGCCTTCGGCGCCTGCTGCTGGCGATTCCTGCCGCCTGCGCCTCGTGCCGAGCGATCCTCTCCGCACCACCATCTGCAAATGCTCGGGAAAAGGTGAGCCCAGTCGACTGCACAACTGGCTACATAGCCCTTAGCGTTTCTTTTCCCTGCAATATCTTAGAGTTAAATTTTGCTATATTTGGGTAAATGTGGCTGTGCCCCTTCTGCTCTCCCCGCCGCCATATCTGTCATCCCTTGGGTAAATGTGGCTGTACCCATTCTGCTCTTCCCGCCGCCTTGTCTGTCGTTCCTTGGGTAAATGTGGCTGTACCCATTCTGCTCTTCCCGCCGCCTTGTCTGTCGTTCCTTGGCATATTCAATGCCGGGGATGGTTCACGCGCCGCGCAATGGAGAAATCGTACAACAGGCTGTTCATACATTACGTTACAGATGCAGGGGAGAGGTTGATAAAGCGTAACCGAAACGTAATGAGAGGGCAGGGTCCTAAGTTGGACAGCGTAACTTTACGCTCGGGTGTGGTTGCGAATCATGCTAGTCTTTTTAATATGCTTTTCAAACCGTTGGATCCTTGCCATGGCAAACAACGCGTCCATGTTAAGTTTGCATCTCTTCATACCCCTGACAACTCGCGCTCAATAAGGGGCCGAACGGACGTGACCTTTTTTGGGACATTACACTTGGCACAGCGTAACCATGGGGAGGGAGGGGAGTCGTCAGCGCAAACAGCACGTAATCAGGGGAGGGGGTAGAGAAATGGCCAGAAATGCGTAGTGTAATACATAGACGGCCTTCGAAGGCGATGGACAGTACACCTTACCCCTCTGCGTGGCGATCAATCCAACGGAATGCCGGATGACACTTTTAGCTATGTGGACCATACAGATGGGACACAAATTACGCAATCCAAGCTATAGCCGACTGCCTGCATCACAAGCCTACCGACGCGCTTATGATATCTGGGCGGAATCTGGGCTGCAGACTCATCGAATCAGGCGTCTGTACGCCTACAATATGCCTCTTTGTTCTGCTGTGCTCGGTGCAACCCCAGTGCAACTGGAACGGTCCCGCGAGCGCAGCCCGTGCACGGTAGTCCGCGGGCGCGGCAGATGCGACGCAATAGTTCCTCACAGCGAGTCCTGCGAGGTGCCCTGCCCAGCACGCATGACAGCGCCACACAGACGTGAAGATGAGAGCCCCCACCCGGAAGCGCAGGAACCGCAAGTCTCACGCACAGCGGAGCCGTGCTAGGTGGCCGCCCGGAGCCTGGATATGGGTCCCAGCGCTGGCTGATCCGAAGGACGTGCCGATGTTCATACGTACACGTTTCCCCCGCCGTATGGCGCAACACCCTGGGAGGCGAGCTCCTGCGAACGTAGTAGTCACTAGCGCTTACTTATTGAACTTTCAAGGATCTCCGGGTTTCTCCGCAGTACGAAACACGCGCAGCGTCGGTTGCCTAATTGATGCGAGTTGATGGGCGTTCCGCCTTCCGCTGCTCAGTAACATCAGCAAGAGCAACGCGAGGATGCTAAAACGGCGCTGCTCGTGCCGCTGCTGACCCCTCGACATCGCGCTAAACATTCCACGCCGCAAAATAAAAACATGTTTCGGGCGCCGCGATCTCGCCGTTCTCGCATGCGACAGTGACGAGCACCGCCGCGCCCAACCCACGCAGCATGGGCGAGCACATCTGACCGGATGCCGCACCGCTCGGTGACCCCGGGACCGGATGGGACGGCCCTATCGCCCACGCCGTACGAGCCCACGAGGCGCTATCGCTGCTCGGAACCAGAAGCGTCGCAGATGTCCTGTCAGCAGGCGCCCTCTGTCCCGGCTGGCCGAGGCTCCAAAATCCGAGGCCCAGCTGTTGCTATCTGCATTTCATTCCGAGAACCGCCGGCGAAACGTACGTGCGTCCGTGGTCGGTGGTGGTTGCGTCGTCCGTGGTCCAAACCGCACGTCCATCAGAGCGTAGTTTATTTAGTAGTGCCAACATCCCTCGTACGGAAAAGAAGTTTCAGTAACTGGTAAAACAACGTGCGAAAGCCGGCAGAGCGTGCACTGGTGATACCGACAAATGCCTAAAGGGGAAGAGGTGCTGCCTGGCGACCGCCCGGTAAAACCCAGATAAAAGCTTCCGGCGCCGCCACGAGGAAGGGACCACCGGTGGCCTGCTCCGCTCGGCCGCACACCGGGTCAGAAGTCCCCGCAGCGCCGATCAGCGCCGCGCTGAACCTAACACGGAGACGCGCGCGGAACAGAAGAGCGAGGGGCGTCTCCGGACGCGGCGAGACCGGCTCGCGTCAGGGCGGTCTTCAGTCGTCATCTTCGTCGCCCTCGTCCGACTCGGCCTCCTCCAGCCAGGTCAGCCACTGGTTCACCTGGAGGCGGGGCGGAGAGATCAGCGTCAGCAACCGTCGACGTTGGCAGCAGGCGAGACGCGCGCAGGCCGACGGACGGGGTCCAGACGTGTGATAAGTGTCAGCTGTTGCCTGCCCGACAGACAGACTGCGAATCCCATGGAACATCCCATGAATGAGTCGTACAACGCCTTTAACGAGACATGAGGGTCTAACATACACCTTGGGGATCGACTGGACACCAATAAATCGAACGACGATCACACAAAACCCACCGAGATCTGAATAGCGACGCTCCCTGAACCCCCTCCCTCCACCCCCGTCGTGGCAGCAGCCGGCGCCTTCTGCCGCGGCTATCGGGGCCCTATGCCGCCGGGTCGGGCGCTCCGCCTCCGTAACCACGTCACGGTCGCCGCCCGTCCGCACCCGGTGCGTCCCAAGCCGCTCCGCACCGCACCTGGAACAGCGCCTTGCCCTTGCCGGGATACTCGTCGTTGACGTCCTCCTTCCAGCGCAGGAACGCCTCCTCCTCGACGATCTCCAGGTCGTAGAGCAGGTTGAACCAGCGCAGCAGCATGCCCTTGGGGAACTGGTGCTGGTAGCAGTACACCTGTGGACAGGAAGCGCAGCACCGCGCTCAAGACGTGTGTCCAGACCGCTGCCGATCTCACCCAGCAGCGACGCTCCACCGCCCGTCCAGACCGGACTCACGTATAGGACATGACAGCAGCGCACCCAAACAAGTCAACTGGCAGACCCTGGGCGCCCGACTAACATACCACCGGCCACTACGTCGCGTACTATCCCTCTCCACAACGTTATCGCCCGCACAGCGCCGTCCCTGCCAGACACACGCGGGTGCCGCACCTGCAGGGCGTAGGTGGCCGTGACTTGCAGCTGCACGTGCTCGTGCGTGAAGGCCTGCAGCACCTGGCGGAAGCGCTGCAGCAGCTCGCGCTCGCGCTCCTGCAGCGCCTTGTCCGGCATCTGGGTGCGGTCCACGTCGGCGGCCAGCGTCGTTTGCTGCACGCACGGACAGACGCATACACCGATCAGCACAGGGCAGGGCAATGCACGTCAGTCGGACGCTGCATCGACGACCGCGGGCAGCGTTCAGAAATCACTTGGTGATCGGACCGTGTGCTGTGGTTTTGTCGAGGTCTCGCTTATTTCGACTCACATTCTGAAGTAAGGCATCATTCGCATCTCATCCCATAATCCCGGTATCTGATCCCGCAATCCCGTCCCATGATAAACGCATTAACTCACAGCTGGTGACAATGGTAGCACCTAAATATGAGACCAGGCGCGCGGCGGATCACCGAAACGTCACCACATAGTGCCCCCGTCGAACTCACCTCGGTGATAAAGCGGATGACGCTGCTGAAGAGGGCGCCGACGAAGTCGCGTTCCTGGTGGAGCGCGGCCGGCACGTTAGCGCGGATCCACTTGTAGAAGGCGGCCTCGGATGGGTCGGCGGCCAGCTGGCGCACCAGCTGCGCCGGTAGCGGCAGCAGCGGGCACAGGAAGGCCAGCTGCCGCTCGTCCAGCACCTCGGCCAGACGCTCCTTGGTGCGCTCGGCGGCCGGCAGCTGCGTCAGCAGGCTCGTCTGTCGGCGGCGACCGACGATAACGTCAGAGATGACGCAAGGCCGACGGTGACGGCAGAGCGACGCTCCCAGACGGCGGCCGCAGCGTCCCGCCGAGATGGACGATTGATTATTGGGATTTTCGGGCGCGCCAACTGCTGAGGTCATGCCGCGCCCATGGCAACAACTTTGCCTAATGAGTGGGGTGTACATATAATCTTGGGCCAAATGTCCTTGAAAAATGAGAACACCTGTTTTGAATGTAGCCAATAGTGTCACCCATCCGCGGCAATGCGGCGCCAGGGCACGGCAGATCAGACAGAGGGCCCTACCAATCACGGTATTACCAGCAGACACAAGACGCTGACTCGTACAAGGGAGAAATTGGCAGGTCCAACGCCGCCATCGGACACAGCTGCAGCAAGCGCGTGCATCGACACCCGACGCCCTACCGTGGGCAGGAGTCGCCGAGCGGCCGCGCGCCGGCTGTGGACGCCGCGCGGTCTCACCTTGGTCTTGGTGCAGAGCGCCATCAGCTGTTGGTTGTCCATCTGCTCGCTGAGCCGCTGCAGCACGATGAAGAAGAGCGGGAAGTGGGCGCCGCCCTCGCATTGGGCCGCCACGTCGCCCAGCTCCAGCAGATCAGCCCGCACCGCCGCCGCCAGACCGCCTGCCGACAGCCAGACACGGATGCAGGCGGCGCCACCACAGGGTCATTCAGGACGGCACGAGACAGGGCCGATCCCAGCATGTGGCCAGCCCCGGCGGGACCGGCGCTGAACGGGACTGTTTACGGGACTGAGCACGGTGTAATGTAACTGACACGGCATCATTCGGCAGAAAGATCAGCAGTGAACACCAACACCTTTCCACACGAAACCAGACGCAAAAACCACGCTGCCATTAGCATCGCACTGGCTCGAGTTGCCACTTCTGGCAACATCTCAGGCATCACCACGACAGGCCAGCTGGCATTTAGTCCGCAATAGCCAGGACACCGTATCAGCCTCACAGCGGGCTGTACAGCAGCCCGAGGGCGGCCGTGGCGCGAGGGCTGACCTGCCGCCTGTTCCTTGACGTCCAGGTCGTCTTCCAGTCCGTCGATGAACTGATGGAACGCGTCAGCCGAGTGGTGAGGCGGCAGCGTGTCAGCCTTGTGGACGGCCGTCAGCAGCTCCACCAGCTGCACCCGCTCCTCCTCTGCCGGCCGGCCGACGGTACGTCAGCGCGGCTACCACACGCAGACAGGGGCAAAGACCACACCGCGACCGACACACACCAGCTGACAGCACTCATAACTTGGGCACAGCCCGGCCCCACCGCGGCCGCCGCTATGAACGGGCACTGGCCGGATCCGCGGACACGTCCCAGCTCCCCTGTCGGCACAGGCCCAACGGCGGAGCTTCGGACCCCTTGCCTGCCGCCCCCCCCCCCCCCCCACACACACACTTACCTGAACGCTGCATGCCGCGCGCCAACATCTGCTGCACCACGTGGCTGGTCAGGCTGTCGGGCACCTTGCAGTCGCGCCAGGCGGCGGCGGCCGCGTCCAGCGCGCCGCCGGCCCACAGCTCGTGCAGCAGGGCCAGCGCCGAGCCCACCACCTCCTCCCGGCCGGCGGCGCGAGCCTTGGCGCGCGGCTTGTCGTGGGACGCCTGCGGCCGACACCGGGTCGCGGTCAGCTGAGCGTGGGGGCTGGGAGCGGCGAGCCGGAACACGCGGCTCGAGCCAATGCGAGCTTACTGCCAAACGGCCATAGGCTGACCGGCACCATCGCAACACCGCCACAGACGCGTCATTCCGCGACTCCACGCAGATCGCTGGGCTAGCTTTATCTCTGATTACCTCCCTCTATCCTGATTCCCTCCCTTCATTCCCTTACTACAAGCCCATCACTGCCTCCCAAAATCACGTGCCATCCCACTCGAAGTTATCGACATCACCCTCCTGTAGCCTATCATCGTTGCTCTCAGCCAGCGCCCAAGGAGCGGGCCTCACGCACCTTGATGATGGGCGGCGCCTCGTTCTTGGTCATGGAGATGGGCCGCGTGCCGACAGACAGGTTCTTGGGCACCATGGAGGGCGCCTGGGGCTTCAGCACCATCGAGTTGGCGGCCGGTCGCAGCGACAGGTCCTCCGGCCCAGACGGGTTTACTATCATCCGCTTGAACCGCGGTGGCAGGTCTTTAGCGCCACCTGCGGCCGGACGTGCTACGGTCAGCCGACAACGCAAGGTCATGGGCGCAGTCAAGGCAGCATGCCAGCTGTTTGTCGAACTGTGGTATCGGCTATAGGGCTACCAACTGGTGTTGACTGTGTCACATTTCGTGCTGGGCTGGTGCGATACTCATACCTCAATGGACCACTTATGGTTGAATAAAGTCACAAGCCAGGCTGAACAATGCCAATGCCAACACTACAGTGATGTCAACATTCACACTACCCCCATTAAGTGACTGGCAGCAGACCCTGCACCGCGCCCATCAGTACCAGATTGACCATTACGGTTTCATGGCGCTATGACTGCTGTAGTGCTGTAGGGCCCATCAACAGTACCAGACGGCACCTAGTTACACGCGAGCTGCCGGAAGGCAACTATCGGGTCGGAGGACGAGCGTCTGACTCAAGACACGTCATTTTGCCAGACGACAGCACATTCAGCCATCGACGCGCCACTCTGCAGTTCGACCCAGATGGAGGGATGGATATATATATATATATATATATACGGTTTGTTCTAGCCCTCCTTCCATTCCCTTACTACATGTCCAGTTGACTCGCAAAATCGCCTGCCATTCAGCCCACAGTTGCTGGTTGACAGGCACTGGCCACTGCCACGGCTCCCGGTCTGGCTCACCATTCCCGAATCCCTGCGGCTGCGCGCCGTGCTTGCCGCCGTAGCCGGCCTGCTGCGGGGGGAACCGTCCGCCGCCGGCGCCGCCCCGGCCGGGCAGCATGGCGTGCGCCGGCTGGCGGCCGTTGGAGCGGCCGTCCAGCCCGATGACGCCCGGCCCGGTGCCCAGCGTGCTGAAGCCCACCGGCAGGCTGCCAAACACGTCCTCCATGCCGCGCTGACGGCCGCCGCCCGGCGCCATCATGGGCAGCGCCGGGAACGAGCGCGACGGCGGCGCCGCCCGGCCGGGCGGCAGCACGCCGGCGGCGCGCGCCTCCTGCCGGATCGAGCTGATGGTACGCGGCCCGTCCGGCCGGTTCACGGCGCGCACCTGTCGGTCAGAGGGGTGCCGGGTCAGTGTCACACCTGGGACGCCGGTCACGTCCGTCTCACGCGCACACTGGCGCTTCGACGAACAGATGGACGACAGCTGAACATCAGACATAACAAACAAACAAAGATGGATCACAGCGCCGTCGCCTTTCAGCGCCAGCATCTGCAGTTCTGACGCCCGGAACCACTGCTCCGGCGCTCTCACCTGCCAGTTGTGGGCTCTGAGCTCGGCGGTGTTCTGCAGCATGAACCGTATGCGGTTGGGCAGTTCGGGCTGCTCAGCCAGCTGGTCCATGCGCCGGAAGTACTGGTCCATGAGCGGGCGGGCCCGCTCCGTGTCCAGGCGAGCGCCGCAGGTGCGCATTATCTGACAGGCGCATTCCACGTCCTCCGAGAGGTCGCGCAGCTGCTGGTGCCGCTTCTTGGCCAGCAGCTGCTGGATGCACGAGTGCAGCACGGCCTCGTGCAGCATGCCCATCTTGCCGAGCTCGCAGATGAAGCGGATGTTGCCCAGCATCTTCTGCTTGGCCAGCTGGCGCTGCTCCTCATCGCTGGCGGATAGCGGTCCATCGCGGTCGTCGAACACCTGCAGCGGCCGGGGCGGGCGTCAGGCGGGCACGGCTGGCCCACACGACTGGGCGACGAATGCCCGACACCGGATCCCAAACGTGACCAGCGAGCAGTGCACAACGATTCAGACCCGTAAAGATCAAAATACACACACTTGAAAGGCAGGTGGACACCCAACAGACGAGCCAATATCTCTGATTTGACATCCCACGCGAGAAGTTTTACACTCAAACTTCGCAAGTGGGCCATCTTCAGCCCACTCTCGACAAAAGTGGGCCGCACATGGCACGGATCTGCGTGTGGTCAGGAGTGCCGCACGGGTCTCACCTGGTTGGCGTGGCTGCGGTTGTCAAACTCGTCCTTACACTTGTTGAGCAGCAGCCGAACAAAGGTGCACGGCGCATCCGGAGGGTCGAAGTTGGGAGCACTCTCAGACAGACGCTTGCATAGCTGCGCGTACAGGAAGCTGTACTTGGGCTCATCAAGTGCCTTGTCGAAGATCTGCGCCACATCATCACCAAGGGTCAATAACACGCCACTCATACAGTATGGTACACACAGTGGGACATTGACCTGATACAAGTGCACAACCGTACACATATAAATCAACGACAAAATTGCCCTCCCCAACCAAGCAACTGGTCAGTGACCATGGTCCATTGACGCCAGCGGACGTGTATGGTAACGCGGCAAATGCATACAAGCCGCGCATGACCCCGGAGCGCTAAATGGCGTCCTAATTTTTTAGGAGATATTTTTTCAAATATATATTTGAAAAAACGGCTGTGAAAATTAGCAATACTGCACATTTTATGTTCTGCTCCAGGTTCGGCTTGAAGTCGCGTTTTTTATCATGTCCGTGGCTTTGACTACGGCATTGGCTTTATGCCCTTTTTATCGGTGTCTTCAGCTTCGAATTCGTGCCTCTTCAGTTAGCTTGGTGGTTGACTTCGGTTTCGAACCCCATATAAGTTGTCTTTAGCTTTGACATCGTCACTTTTTCAAGGCACTTGCGAGGAGCCTCCACAAAGTCCATCTGTCCTGTTATCCCCATACATCATACATTTTAAGCCCTGCCCTGATAGAAGGAGGGGGTCGACGCCAACCCCCTTGAAATTTTCTGGGGATAACTCTCTGGCACGCCGCGCAATCACGCCCAATTTTTGAGTAACGTGTGGGGCATCCATTGCGGGTACTTTGACACCCAAAACGTATCCCTAGCATTCCCGGTTTGAGAGCAGCTGCGGTTTTTGAGGGACACTGCAGTGATGAAGGGCCGGCGCGAGTGGCGGGCGGCCGGCGACGGTTCTGCGGGCCGCTCGCCGCGAGCCGACATTGCTACATTAACAGAGCCGTACATCATAAATAAAAACCAATACAACACCAATGGCTTCATCTTTTTAGATTCAAACTCCAAAGCCATTGATTTCAGTTTCAGATTTCACCTTCATGTCAACGCCTTAGCTCCGAAGAATTCGTTAGTAAACCAATGGGCTATACACCAACTCAAAGCTTTCTCAACCCCACCTTTCCACTATGAATGCTGGCCACTCAGTTCAGTTTGTCCTATCACATGTGTCAGCTCCTCTCCATTGAACAGGTAAGCACATGACATATACTTACCTCTTTAAAAGTCACAACAATGCAATACATGATATCATCAAAATGGCAGCACACTTCTAGAGTATAGGTGGAAACCATACAATTTTTGCACATGGAACTTACCAGCAAGATGACACCTTTGAGGATCAGGCTTGAGTCGAGCCCAATGCGAAGGATGGCATCTGTTAATTTGTCAAACTTCTCGGGAGTGAGTTTGTTGAGGATGCCGCGAACCTGTGGAGCATCATGTGTTATGACATGGTGACAGAACTGCAATCAGCCATTATTACAATGCCCCTGGCCAAGCATGACATGTGAAATCCTGAGAGGGCTCCTTTCTGTCTGCAAGCAGCGCATAACAGTGCCAACACCACTGAAATTTCTACCAAAATATTCAAATGGGATCTACAAATTTGAGTGGCTACCTTGCTACTTTTTTCTCACCCTGATATGGTAAAATAAATTTTAGTTAGCCTCTTCAAAAAAACATTGGATTGCCAAAACCCAAAACATCACTAAATGCCACACATAGGTACAGACAACCTGCATAAGACAGGTAAAGTTAACCAAAAATATAAAACCAGACATATGTAATGCTAACTGCATGACTCTGAGCCATTATTGCCAGTGACATAGCCTGCACCCATCCCTCGCATAACCATGTGTTGCTCTCAGTGCAGCACAAGAAGCCATGACTGACACGGCTCATATGCCAGGGCAGTCTTATCAATAACTGGGGAGATTGTGAAAACACAAACAAAATAAACAAAGATTTTACAATCCACAGAATCATTACAGGCATGCCTACAACATTCTGGAAAACTGGCTTACCTTCCGGAAAATAGGATCGTGGTCTTGGGGAAATGCATCTCGTTTAAGCACAGAAGGTGGCACCCATCGGTTAAAAGGGTTGTTTGAGGAACTGGAATTGTCCCTGAAAAAGAACAGCAGTGTTAATTTGGATCAGCACACACTGGTTCTAAGCTGCAACATAATATCCTGCAGCATATCACAAAATTAGGTCTTAATCTCATTCATCTAGCTCTGTAAACAAAATAGACACCTCACTGCACTGATGGTTCCACACAAAACAATACAAGCTGACACAATCTTGACAAAGCCAGACACTATGTGCCTATCCCTCTTTCTACACTGCACCATCTCATTTCAAGCCCACTTTGGGTACAAGTAAGATGCCACATCATCAAACAAAGTACTTCAAAGATACATACCTCCCTCCCGAACCACGAGAAGCACTCCCGACTTCCCTGTCCAGTTCCGTTGTGGGTGGAATCTTGTTGCTGTATGAAACTTTAGGCTTAAAATTTAATATGGTTGATGGAGGGCCTGTAAAAAGAATACCACCCATTATACTTTCAATAACAAAAAGTGATGCACAGTCATAACAAAGAGCAGGCAAGATTGATGCAGACAGCTCAAGTTTGCAAGTTATTTCCATACCTTATACACAATATAAAAATGCCTATGTACTATTGGCATATTTCCATACCTTATACACAACATAACAATATCTATGCACTATTTGTATACAATGAACAGCATATCTCATGAAATGAAGCATGAAATAGTAAAGCACTGGTATCATGAAGTGTGATAATGTGCATGTGATGTGAGGTCAATATACCAATACACTTACAATCAGGAAAGCACTAAGCACATGAAGGCTATCAACATGCACTTAACTGTGAATAAAATGTGTGGAATTACACAGTCCTCTGACACCAATCCAAGCATGACATTTGATTGGCTGCATGCTCGCATGGCTGTCATTTTCCAAAGAATGATTAATGGTTGAAGGCTCAATTTTTAAATTCTTGCACACGACAGTGACATTTACAGAACAAGTACATAGAAAATTCAACTTTATCTGCTATTATATCTTCTTAATCAGCTTTTTAAAACAGCATGCTTGTTGAAACTTTATTCTGATCTCACTAGCTCTCTTGTAGCTTAAATGCTCATAGCCATGGGAAAACAAATCTTAGTGTTATAACAGATTCTGTCAAGTTGGAGCAGTAGGGAAGAATACAAAGAATGGGAAAACAGCGTGGTTTGGTTATAAAAGGTATAACACATCACTTTCAAATCCAAGAACATCTCTGAGAAAAAATGGTTGTTGGCAGACATTATGAAAATACAACAAGAATGTTCTCATCCTCCCAGCAACCTAACCCTAAAAACCAACCCATTCCAAAAGGAACAAGCTGTATTGTCATTTGGAACAAAGAGGGCAAATTTCCAATGTGGAATCACGACAACCTTGGTGCAGATAAATAGAGACTGCTTGTGTGTTACTGAGCAATGTGGTGGGGTGGCAAGTATAAACTTTGATGAGATTTAAGGATGCAGTAACACTGATCATTGTGCTGGTGCTAAATATGTATGCATGCAAGATATCAGTTACTTCATTATTTATACAAGTTTGGTTTTAATTCATCTAGACCATCAATGATATGCCACCTTAATATATCATAACTCATGGCAAATGAGTATAGAAAATATATCCTCTAAGCTGTCCCAACTTGCTGGATAGCCTGTGCTATGTTGAACCCTTTCTATCAGCAGAAGTAATTGGGGCTTTCAGACATTCGAACTGCATAACCATATGGAACCCTCAAAGTCAAACCAAAAGATTCAAAACTTTCCCCTACCTCCAGCCATACTGACAGGTCAGTCACCATGCATGAGAGGTACCACAAATAAAATTGGCCTAGTACATGGGAAGGTGCTTATTGGGATCTTCCTCTGGTCTGGTCCAGCCAAACATTCCTTTGGCTGCCCTGTCCCCCAGAAGACATAAGGACAGTAGAAAACTAAATAATAGCATAGAACATCATTCATGGTCTAGAATGCTGTGAACCTATTTAATCCTCTCAATAGAAAAACATCATAGTCAAAGACAAGCCTAAAAAAAACTACCTATGGCTCTCAACAGCTCAACACCATTTAACAACAAATTCTGACAAAAAGAACATACACCCAAGGAAAGTAAAAGTATCAAAACCCTGAAGGTCTGCAGACATGAAATATCTCCTATGGAACAACAAACCAGAAGTATTCTATTTGAATATCCATGATCCAAAATTAAACGTAAAAGATCTGAAGCATAAACCATCATGTAACCCCATAAAATGCATGCTGAGCCCATGGAATACGAATTGGTGCGTACCAAGGGCGTCACCACACATTCACACCTGTGTCCTACTTTGGTCTAAGATGCCAAAACAAATGACACTTACCTGCGACCAACAGTGGTTCTCGGCAGCTACAAACTCAAAGTGCTCTACTTCCACCCAGAAGTGGACTGGGGACGCAAATGACTAAGCAGATCCAGTTCTTTGTTCCGTTACCCAGAACAAGGAGCGGCAAACGAGGAACGCTACAAAGACGAACAAATCTTAACAGGTCAGCATTTTTGCCTCGATTTCCACATCCACAAGCCCATCACAACGCACACTTCAATCTAGCTACATCAAGTCATCCAGAACTCCGGTATCTTACCTTAATTGGTTCACGTAATTTTCGTCGCAGTCGGGCGGTGGTCTTGCGTTCCGAGTCGCGTAGCGTCCGCGTAGATTCCTCTAGAATATTTTTGTTCTTCCGGGAAGAAGGATTTCATACTGAATTTATCCACAAGGATGTTGTGGTCATAAATAACTAATTTATATTTCAAGTTCGGGTACATAGTTATCAGGGAGATTAACAGACTGTTTCTTCAAATCACAGTGTGCAACTTTAAGTTGCTTCATGAATACCTTCCACCTAAAAACGTCACATAGTAGGAATCTCCATTAACCTAGTTGTAGTTTAGAAGCAATGATTTTTGACTGCGATCTGCAATGCCCATTGCAGGACAATCGCAACTATTGTAAAGCAACTGCGCATTGTTATAACAGCGCTGCGTATTGTTATGGTTGATGCATTCATTCCCGAATCACAGCAACATCAGTGAATGCACGACATTGCTGATATTGTTCAAAACATAGAGAAAAAAAACATATTAATGTACTGCCCTTTTTGCTAATTTTGGCCGGCTATATCAAGGTTTAGAGGACCAAAATTCATCTTGATTAGAATGGTCATCAAATAAATAAACTTACTGAATGAAGCAAAGTTTTTACATTAAAGAACCGCGCGGTTTTCTTGTTATACTTTTCATCTGCCTTACCTGCAAAATAGAAGCCATATTTGTTATCGTTTTGCAGCACATTAGAGAACGGAAGACGAGGAACTACGCGGAGAAGCGCTGGGGCCAGGGGTCGGGCTGCATGCGGGGGTCCTGGAGAGTATTAATGGTTATGGTATCATTGACGTAGGGAAAAAAACTGGAGACAAGCTGCAAGTATTTTGCTTTTTGCCCACACTGTCATTTAAGTTATTTCGATCTGTCAGAATAGGACGAGCAAAGGCGCTTTCATTTCCATTTTAGTTTAATGTTCGGTATTCCGTCTGGGCACGTTGAACTCATGGAGAATAGACCGTGGTGAAGGTGCTGGGAAGCTGGGCTTTGATTAAAGCTTTGCTCCAAGAATTCAAGCTGGATAAGCTTCCTGACTACCTCAGAGATACAGTTGATTGGTTTATGGGGTAAGGCATTGCATGATTTAGGTCTTAGATGCCCATTGGGTTTCTTGGCCAAAACAATCTGAATGTGACATGTTGAAATATTGATTTTATCATGTATTGAAGCCCTAGTTTGACTTGTATTGAAATATGACTCATGCTTTGTATATTTATGAAAACCTCAATCCTGAAATGTTGTATTTTAAAGTAATGCAGTCATTTTAAGAGCATGTTAGTTGTATACCACCTACTGCATTTCAGCTGCATGTCACCTCTGTCACTCCTGGTGTGAATGTGCGATATGCAATATGTTTGCACTGCATAAAGCCATTACCACCAAAGCTGGATAACTATAGCTACAGTGCAGTATTGCTGGTGATGAAATCGCTATTCTTAAGCTCATTGTAAATGCAAAGAAAAATAATCGATTTTGTCATTTGCAGGGTATTATATATTTTAATGGATTTTAACTAGCCCTCATTCCGACCTGACCAAGCAAAAGCAGAGCTTAACTCATCTGACCTAGACCTAGCATGGTCCGACCTAATCTAATCTATCTGAACTTTCATGGCCTTTGTAACATGACATAATCTATATGATATCTCAGCATGCATGGTTTTCCTGCTTTGTCATGCATAATGAATGCCAGCAATGAAGATATGGTTGATTACACTGAATCAGCATGGCTCATTCCTTGTACTTACGCTTATTATTGGTGCTGTATATACATATATATATATATATATATATACAGCACCAATATATATATATATATATATATATATATATATATATATATAATTTATTATTCCAGTGTGTCAGTAACACACTGAGACAAAATCATATGGGTAAGAGAGAAATGCAATAGAATGTCAGTTCTATGATAGATTTGAAGAGCTTAGAAAGCTAGGTATTTATTTGCATATACATTGTATATTGGAAAGGGTCAAAGCAGTCATCCAAAACAATAGAGTGGCTTGCAAGTGAGTGGCATAGTTCATGTGCAGGTCATTCTTAAGAGGGTGCCAAATCAAAATGCAGAGAAATCAAGAAGAAGCTTTTCAGAATATATAGGCTTATTACAAAGTTTTGTCTTTATGCTTAATGTAAATATGGGATTATCCAGGCATGGTCAGACTTAAAGTATCTATGTTAGTTGCACTCTTCCCTGGACCTGTATGACTTCCTTAATATAAAATAAATTTTGCAGTCAAACCTGTGTCATGCCTCTTCAGGTGATCTTACACATTGCTGCATTGCATAGCTTAGTTTTGCCATGTGTACCTGTAAACTTGTAGTTGTTTGATATTGTAACACCTGAATATGAAGTTATGTGATGCTTCCATGTACAACATACCAACTGTCAGGCCTTGCCCAATATTAGGTTATCATCAAGGTAGTTTAGAGTCCATTTAATAGCAGCATTTGAAAGGTATGTGTCATGCTTTATGTGACATTGTGACTGCTGGCAGTGGACATTTTTACATTGATTCAGTTGGAATTGTTTTACCAGTTTGATGATGTCACTAGTGTCTATCAGTATGATAGGTAAACAGTAGTTAACTGATACTAGAAATCAGATCTCCAGCATGTCTTGTTCTGCTTTTGGTGCTTGCTTGGAGCCCATGATGTGTGTGGAAGTGTGAGGAAACAAGATGCTTTAAGATACCTTTTTTTTTGCTAGAGTCATGGGAATGTCCTTGGAAGAAAGCATTTAATTTTACTAAGTTGTATTTGATTTGATTATATATAGGAAAGTGGAACATTGGGATTATATCTGATAGATATAATGCTTAATTTAAACTGGACCACAAGCCAGCAGTGTGCATATAGGCCACTGTTTATATGGCTTAACAGGTAATGTGTATAAATGTGGGGTTGCAATGTGTACTGAACAGTGATGGTTATGCTCACAAACTTCACTGAACAGTTTGGATGCTTCACCCATGCACTGCTGTTCTTTTGCATGGTGCACCTGAAACTTGGTTTAAGTGTGAGGAATGTGAAACAAAACATATCTGACAAAGTGTGACTGCTATGCTGATGCATTAAAATGACAAATTATGCTTGGATCCATTCTTTTCTATTGACAGCTTACTATGTTAAAGAAGATGGCTATTTTGGCACAAATGTCTGATTTTTTGTAAACCAGCCTTATTTTCAGTTTATGTCAGTACAGTCATGTACATTGCATTATGCATGCTGCAAAATAATAATGAAGGGAAACCATCCCAGAACTTTGCAGAATCTGAATCTGCACCATGCCCTGGAAGACAACTCTGAGATTATATTAAGTTATTTGTTGAAAGGCATGCTGTAAAGCATCTGATTGACCATTGCCAACTGTTCTGATCTAACTATGCCATTTCCATAGCACAATGTCTGCTAGGTAATATAGGAGCAAGAACAAAGCCAGTAGTAGGGGAGGGGAGGGGGGGGGGATAGTTTTCCAAAAAGGTGAATTGCTGTAGCTTCTCCATGCCAAATACTCTCCACTAATCAACTCTGAGATGGCACTTGTCTCTGACTTGGGCTGTTGAATAGCTGAAAGTGATGACCCTAATGGACAGCTGGGGAGCTGACCACAGGGTGCCAGATGTCTGAGCTCATATTCTAGAAATGATTATGATGTGAATCATCAGTAGTGGCTGATTGTCAACTGACCAACATAGAGCCAGGCTGAATTAGAGGCTGTCACATCATATGTTTGCATGGTATGCCCAAATCCTTTGGTGCAATGCACATGTGTACTTTGGTACAATCTGACAGGGGATGGAAGCAAAAATGGTCTGTTGAATGGAAACTGGGCCATGTGGGTGGTGGTGTTAATGTCATAGTAAGCTCTGCTTGATGGAGCCCATAATTCCAAAGCCACAACTGCAACACATTTGATACCTTGCTGCAAAGGAGCAGATCTAGTTCAGAAGGCCAAATTTATAAATCAAAAAGCAAATTTTGTGATGTCCTTGCATTTGTCATTCTTTAGAGTTTTTGGGAAGGCCTGAAATAGCTAGTTTTGGGAAAAATTTATATAAAACCCTGTCCACATTGTTGGGAAGGTGTTCAAATCTCCAGTCCCTTGTGTGTGCCAGGAAGCTGACCCAACCCATCCATAATGAGACTGGGTGCACTGTGATGCCCAGTGACCTGACTTGACACGACCTGACCTCGCCCGGCAGCAAGGCGCGCCGGAAGGACCGCGAGAGCTCGGCGCCCTCGCAGGAGGAGCACAAGCTGTACCTGGAGGAGGCGGTGCTAGAGCGGAAACACAGCGACACCGACCTCCGCCAGCTGGTCGACCTGCCGCCCGGGCTTGGCTACAACGAGTGGCTAGCCTCTCACAGTGAGTGTCGTGCGCTCGGTGGGGTGTGGGTAGCCGGGCTGGTCTAGTGAGCGCCCAGTGTGGCGCCATTGCGCTGAACACAGTGTGTCGCCCGTTTCCGTCCCGTGTCCCCCGCTCAGGCAGCGCGTCTTAGTCATCAGCGGACTGCAGGCCCCAGCCGTGAGGGCCCTCCGTCCGTGTCGGTGGGTCAGGTCAGGTCAGGTGTGTGGTCGGCGATAAGCGGAGCTGATGAGGCGGCCGCGAGCCGTCCGGGCCCCGCTGGCCCCCGCAGACCCCCGCAGACCCCCGCAGACCCCCGGCGACCCCAGGCAACCCCCGGCGACCCCCGGCAACCCCCGGCAACCCCCGCAGACCCCCGGCGACCCCCGGCAACCCCCGGCGACCCCCGGCAACCCCCGGCAACCCCCGGCGACCCCCGGCGACCCCCGGCAACCCCCGGCGACCCCCGGCCTCCCCGAGCCCGCGCAGACCCCCGGCCCTTCCGAGCCCCCACGCAAGCCCCCACAGACCCGCCACAGACCGCTGCATACCGCCGCAGAGCGTCGCAGACCCCCGCAGAGCCTCGGCCCTCCCTAGCCCCCACAGACCCCTAGGTACGGTTAGGTTGGGTTAGGTTAGGCCTCAGTGACACGCTATCCGGCAGGTTACTACTCGGAGGCTGGAGCCTAAAAGTAGTGTCCCACTTTTGTGATATATTAAAAGAAGACTCAAGTGAAACCTCAGGACCAGTTAGTCCAAGCACTGGGTAGTGCCACTGCCGCGCCATCAGGGCATAGTGGGGATATAGACTTAAATTGTTTTCGAGTCCAAATTGCGCTTTCAACACTTTGTAACAGCACTACGCTTCCTCCCTGCAGTCGCGATAGCCGTCGTCATGACAAGGAAGAATCTGCAGGGAGGGGGGGGGGGGGGGGGGGAGGCGGCTGTCGACTGGTACTGAATGATGTCAGTACAAATGACCGTTTGTGATTGGCACAGCGGGCGGCAAGGGCTAGTTGCCGTGAAGCGCATTGATTGAAGTTTGAACCAGTACATCACTGGCGACCATGTGATACTCGGTTTCCCAAAGTCAAAGCGTGCTTCGAAAAGAGACGCTGATAAACGCAATGGGGAATAAATCGAAGCCATAACATGACGTTTCGTTGAATTCGCGAGGTAATAACTTTATACTTGAATATATTTTTCCCTAAACGGAGTTTTTCAAACTTCCGCAGCCTTTCTTACACGAACATTTGTACAAATGAGTGTGTTTGCAGAACACACCCACGGGAAAAAGTAAGGGAAATGAAATGTATTACTTTCATAGTGGTGAGCAGGGAGTTCAATAAGGTTTCCCCCACAGGGGTGACTACTTCAAATACAAAGTCTGAGCCTTTCAGAAGCATTTCGAGAGACCAGGTGCTACCGATCAAATCGGACGCGTATGATCTAACTTAAAGTGGGGAGTACAAAGAGGTGGCATACTTCCCTTAAAGCAGGCTTAATGTAGCGTTATGACTCGTCGAATCTCATTCTACTAGCTCTGATATGGCCTAGGGAGGCCATCGGACTCTAAGCAAATCGAAATGAACATGGACGTGCAGACATAATGAGTTGGATTCAGCGGGAGTTCGAGCACTGCGCCCACTGGAGAGATTGACAGAGGGCTGGCACGTACCTAACCTCTCCAATCATTGAAACAGCACGGGCGGGGCTGCTTCTTGGAGATGCCGGTAAGAAGCGTTGTCAAAAGGTGCTGCGATGTGAGTTATGCAGTCAGTGAAATGAACCCTGTCCGTTTGTCAGGGCGTGTGCAGATAGCGCTGAAACGCGGGCTACCACAGAAGCAAACCTTACCGCGACGGTGATAACAAGTAACAATGTTCAGAACGGCGAAGGTTTGGACGCCATGTGGCGACGCATCGAAGCAAACCTTACCGCGACGGTGATAACAGTAACGATGTTCAGAACGCCGAAGGTTTGGACGCCATGTGGCGACGCATCGAACTGTAGCGAACGATCGACGGCGGACCGGGCTGCCCGGTGATTCGTCTGCAGGCAGACGGTGTCCGTCTGAAAGCTGCCCCGGGCCGGGCCGGTGGCCCAGACACGGCCGCGCGGGCTGAACAGTAGGGCTGTGTCTGCCGTCCTCTGTCGTGTGACCGAGTGGGTGGCCGAGACACGACCGGGCGGGCTGGACGGTCAGCCTGTCTCTGTCGTCCTCTGTCGTGTGACCGAGCGGGTGGCCCAGGCACGGCCGGGCGGGCTGGACGGTCAGCCTGTCTCTGTCGTCCTCGGTCGTGTGACCGAGCGGGTGGCTCAGACACAGCCGGGCGGACTGGACGGTCGGCCTGTCTCTGCCGTCCTCCGTCGTGTGACCTAGCGGGTGGCCCAGACACGGCCCGGCGCGCTGGACAGTCGGCCTGTCTCTGCCGTCCTCCGTCGTGTGACCGAGCGGGTGGCCCAGACACGGCCCGGCGGGCTGGACAGTCGGCCTGTCTCTGTCGTCCTCTGTCGTGTGACCGGGCGGGTGGCCCAGGCACGGCCGGGCGGGCTGGACGGTCAGCCTGTCTCTGTCGTCCTCTGTCGTGTGACCGAGCGGGTGGCCCAGGCACGGCCGGGCGGGCTGGACAGTCGGCCTGTCTCTGCCGTCCTCTGTCGTGTGACCGAGCGGGTGGCCCAGACACGGCCCGGCGGGCTGGACATTCGGCCTGTCTCTGCCGTCCTCTGTCGTGTGACCTAGCGGGTGGCCCAGACACGGCCCGGCGGGCTGGACAGTCGGCCTGTCTCTGTCGTCCTCTGTCGTGTGACTGGCCGGTACAGTCCTTCGCATTGATGTCGGCGTGTGGCCCCGTGATTGGGTAGGCTGTCCAGGCCGTGGTGCGCTTGTAACCATGCTTGTGCCGTCAATTGATCGGGGGTTGGTCCTTGTTTTAAATTTTGTTCGGCACTCGACGATATGAAAGTTCACAGCACCTGTGTAGATATGCGTACTGCGAGCGGTTGCAGAGGTGTTCCGTAAGCGGGGGCTGTTATCTGATATCGTTGTTACCATGCAACCCAACGCCGTACGTAACGGCAACGCTGCCTCTTTTTCTAACAGATCCATTGCCTGCCGCGCCGCGCTGCCGCTGTCGCCACGCTGTGGGCTGGCGGGGGGGGGGGGGGGGGGGGAGAGAGGGGAGGGGGCGTAGCTGTGGCAACGTGCCGCACTCCATTCCGGGATGCGGCGTCGTACCCCAGAGCGTGGCACTGCCGCCCGGTGGTGTGGTGCGACCCGGTGTCGCGTGGCGACGGCTCGCGGAGGAGCGCCGCTGCCCCGCTGGTGATCGATACGGTGCCTCCGTCGACGGCTGATCCATCGGCAGAACACGTCCCTGGCCGGCCGCGCTCGCCGCTCACACCACCGGCGGGCCCTCGGCGCGGCGCAGGGTGCCGCTCCCAAACACCGCCGATGTTTGTTGCTCTCAGGTGGTTTGAAGTGAGGTCCCATGTTGGACTTTACGACTGAGTTTGTTTGTGGCCACCATCGTGGGGTTCGGGTTAATATGTTATAGTATCCGGGGATTTATGACAATTTTGCTGAAGCAGCCATCCGCTCCCTCGGGCCACGAAAGCTTTGATCCGTGTGTTGCCGGGCTGACTCTGCCTGCTGACAGCCGACAGCCCGGCTGGGACGGCCAACAGTCTGTCGTCTCCGACGATCCGCGAGCGTAGGCACGCCGAGCACGCGCCTCCGCCGGCCCGGCGCCCCCAGGCTCTGTCGCGCGCGCGTCTGCCGCACGTCCCCCGATAATGCACGCTGTCATGAGCGGATCTGCCGGGTCGCGCCGGGCCGGATGTCGGTCGCCTTTTGTCGTCCTGGCGCTCGCTGGCATCATGTGATGGCAGCTGGGGAGACAGCAGCTTCAACCGGCTGGGTGCCCTCCTGGCTCCCTGTTCACACACCATGCCGTGTTTGGAGGGTGATCCGCTCATTATGCGACGCGAGTGACGCGGCGTTCAGTGTCTATATCGGGGTTCGGGGTGCGGTCGTGATCAAGTTACTGGAGCGTGCTATTGAAATGATCATGCTCTGAAATAATTGCGTGCCGAAGCAATTTGCATGCATGATTTGTGTTATTGGCGTACGGTAATTCGAGGCACAGGCGTGTCTAGGACGATGTCGATCGTAGGGCGACGGCGTGCGTCTACTGGCGTGGGGCAATCCATACGAATGCGTCGGAGCTGCTGTCCAGAGTCACTGCTGGTCAAAGCACACTTGTCAGCGCGTGCTAATCGTACTTCACGCGTACAGGATAACACAAAAGTAGGTTAATCCCGAGGCGCATAATCACAACCGCCCCGCAGCCAACGGGCACTTCACAGGTGCGGCGAGACACTGCTGGGGCAGTGAGATTGACGTGGTCCACCGGCCCGGTATAAGTGGCCGGAGGTGGGTGTCCACTGGTCTCGTGCCAGCCTCGGTCCGCGGCTTGAAGAGGCGCAGCCCCGCCTGGTCGCCCCCTCAGCGTCATCTCGCCGATGACACACCGCTCGTGAGCCGTAGACTCGGGCCATCCGTCAGTCAGAACCCTGTACTGTGGTCCACCCATGATAATCTTAGAATGACCTTGCACCTTACAGCTAATCGATTTGTCCCGCTTTTGGGTGGTCTCCACCCAGCCTCACTCATCCAGTGACTGTTTTACGTCATTGCCAGAGCGCGTTTGGCGTGTGTGCACAGGCGGTTATCACAACACGGCCGCGGGGCGATACGCGGTGTCGAAAGCGCGGCGCGATACGGCCGGCGTGGTGTCCGTTATCGAGGTGCCGTGTCTCTGCACCCTACGCCGCCGCACTAACGGTCGCGTGTGATAAATGACGTCGGCGTTACGACGCCGCCGTCTGCGCGGGCTGGCCAGGTCTGGTACGCGGTCGGTCCGCGTGGTACCGTGCGACCACCTCCCACGTGCCAGGGCGGTACCGTGTGACTGACCTTGCCGTGTACCGGTGCGGTACCGGCGCGTGACGGGCCGGCCGCGCCCCACCGCCGTCCCGTGGGACCGGTGCGGTACGTAGTGTGGTACCGTGCTACCTGTCACTCGTCATCCTGCAACGCGGTCGCTTACGCCGTTACCCCCCTGTCCGTGGCCCGCCGCTGGCCCTGGCCGACACCGCGACCACTGTCGACTGTCGGCTGGGGCAGACAGCGCCATTGATCGTCGCAATCTCGTGCTGACACGGCCATGTGCCGGCGCCAGCGGCGCGGCGCTGTCGGGCCTGTCGGCGCCGCTGCCGCTCCGTGACGGCCCGGCTCATGCTCGCGCCTATCACTGGTGACTCACGCGTCCGCTCTGGGCTTTGACGGGCGGCTCATGGATGGCGGCGGGATGTGTGTCCGGTTTGTGGCGATGTTGCCGCGGCGGGCGTCAGGCTGCGTCCGCGCCAGCCCGCCCAGCTGACGGCGTGCGCTCTGTTGCAGCGATCGACTTCTTCCAGCACATCAACCTGGTGTATGGCACGATATCCGAGTACTGCACCACGTCCTCGTGTCCGGACATGAACGGACCATGCCAGAGGTAACACTCCATCACGTCCGCTGACACGCGGGCTGTCATGCTGTCAACACTGTCTGGGAAACGGGCCATTCACGTGCACCGGCGCGCGGCCGGCGGCGCGGCGGACGTGCGCTGCCGCTCGCCTCGGGCGCTGTGACGGAGTTGCGGTATTGTGTTTGGTGAATGCATGTCGCGTTCGTGTTGCACAAAAAGTCCCGCCAGCCAAGTGCGCTCTCCGCTGAGGGGGCGCCTCCGTCGGGGCGGCGTCCGACCGGGGCGTCGAGCCGGCGACCTTCCGACGGGGCTGACCTTTCGCCGGCGGCCGCCCCAGTGGCGCAGTGGGGCCGGGCCGCCGGCCGCTCGTCGCCCCACTGCACCGTGACATTTGCTGGGGTGGTGGGACCTTCGGCCGCCGCGGCCCTCCGCTGTGGGCGGTGACCTTGATCAGGGCCGGTCGGATGGACGTTTGTGTGGGATGTCGCAGCGCGCCCTGGGCGGGTTTGTTTAGAGACGGTCCTCTCTGGCCGGCCGGCAGTGTCGGACGTGCTTTTTTAGGAACGCTCTGCCCTAACTTCAGGCCGCATGACGTCACTGGTTTGGCAAGCGGGGCCAGAGCTGACTGATAACGATTTTGCTCCCAAGGCTCTCTCCGAGCGCGCCAGTGTAGGGCTGCGTGCATGGGATCGTTAGAAGCCGCCGAGGCATCGATTGTTTTCCGCTGCCGGCGGCCGGGCTGTTGGCTTGTGGACTGAATAGGCGCTGCTATTCTGGGTACCTCGTCGTTGCAGGCAATACTTCTGGGTCGACGAGAGGGGAAAGAAAACAAAGACGACAGCACCTCAGTACGTCGATTACGTGATGACGTACATCCAGAAGACGCTTAACGACGAGCCAGTATTTCCCAGTAAACCAGGTGAGGCTGGCGTATTGTGTGACGTGTGGAAGCCGTAGTCTCGAGTGTGGCGTCGCGCGCCGTGCGGGCTCCGCCGGCGCCGTGGCCGAGTCGTCCGCCGCGCGCTCTGAGTGTTGGCAGATGGCGGTCGTTCACGACGCCGCATGGACTGACTCGGGCGCGGGCGGGCACGGGTGCCGCTCAGGCGCGGGTCTCGGGCTGCCTCTGACACCGGTCTGGGCTAGCTTTGTGGGTGTGGGTGTGTGCCTGTGCCTGTGCCTGTGCGGGTGCGGGTGCGGGTGCGGGTGCGGGGGTGCGGGTGCGGATGTGGGTGTGGATGTGGGTGTGGATGTGAAGACGGGTCCAGGGGTGTGCACTCTGAACTCCGATCTCCACCTTGGACTCTTCGCTTGTCTGTCATTGGTGTGACAGTTTGTTTTTATTCGCTGAATTCGAAGTGTCGTGCCACCGCTCACTGTTATCGGTACCATTACAGCTCGATGCATCTGTCTGATGTATCAAGGCGGTTCTTGTGCGACGGCCACTTACATTTGGAGCTCATTACGTGCTGTGGCGCTTCCCATTAAATACACCACTTGTCTTCTGGTTTACGCCCATGCTCCCCCTGAGATGGGCCTGTAATATTCCAATGACACCAGACGGCTCGGGCATGGCCAGCGGTCGTTGTGTGGGCCTTGGTTTTCCCCCAAATGTTGCGCTCGCGTGCTGTGCAGACGCGGAGCGTGTCAATTTGACTGAGCGTGGGCGGCCGGTGCCAGGAGCGGGGCAGGCTGTGCCGATTGTGGACCACCGGCCGCCGCCGACGTGTCCGTGACGGTGACCAGGTCACAGCGCCGGCCGTATGTGTGTCTGTGTGTGTGTGGCCCCGGCCTCGTCACGCGCTGACCTCCGGCCCAGCCCGCCGCCTCTCTGTCTCGTGTGGCGCGGCGTCCGCCGGCCGTGACGAGCAGCAGGCCACGCGCTAGCTACCCAGCTGCGAACCCCGCTTCATCATCACCCCGGCCGGGCGGCGGCGTATCCGGAAAACACAGCGTCGCCGGCGGCTGTGCGGCGGGCGGCGCTGGAGATGAAAATGTGCCGGTCTTGTCCAGTCTGAGTGGCCTAACTGACGGCCGTTTGTCAGGGGTCGTTGTGATTCCCATTGCCCGCTTGTAGCTAGTCGATGTTCGTTGCTGTTGTAACCGGTTGCCGCCGTTCGCAGTGAACGACTTCCCGACGGACTTTGAGGTGGTGGTGCGCCGCATCTTCCGGCTGCTGTTCCACGTGCTGGCCCACATCTACCACCACCACTTCCGCGAGGTGATGTTGCTGACGCTGCACGCCCACCTCAACTGCATCTTCGCCCACTTCACACTCTTCAACGAGCGCTTCAAGCTCATCGACGAGAAGGAGACCGAGGTGCTGCACGACCTGGTGGTGGCGCTGAAGCTGGCGCCGCGCGCTTCGGCCGCGTCGGCCGCGTCGGCCGCGGCTGCGTCGCCGCTCGCCGCTGCCAGCCGCCGCCGACGGCGACGAGAACAAGGAGAACATTGACGTGGCGAACGGTCGGGCGTCGGGGGGCGACAAGGCGGAGAGCATGGAGACGGACCAGCCGGAGCCGGACGGCCGGCCTGCGCCCGCCGAGCCCTGCCAATAGTGATACGCCCCGCTCTGCGCCGCGCCGCGCCGCACGCGTCTTACCCTCGCCTCGTCCGTGGCCGGAGGGGCCCGGCCCGCACGCGCTCCGGGCTGCCTGCTGTAGGCGCCGCGCGCCACCGACGCCACCGCCGGGATAATTTATTTTAACCATATTAGTTTCTTCTGCAAGCGCGTGACCTAGCTTGCATCTAGTCGGTCTGTTGTGATTGTTGGTACAAATGTAGCGACATTGTTTTGTGTGGCCGGCGGGGCCGGCGGCTCCGGCTCGGCCGGCCCCGCCGCGTCGCCGCGGGCCCACCCGAGTGTTGATTTCAGCCATGATTTTACTGTTGACTAGCCGCCCTAGCTGGGTAGCCGTATCCCTGTCCACGATTGCTGTGCAATATCCCGTCGCGCTCTGTCCCTGTCTGTCGTTTCGAGTCCGGGCGAGCGCTGAGCGGCGTCAGATTTTCGCTCCCTCCCTCCCGGTCTTCTCCGGCTCTTGCCGACCTCCCTCCTCCGCCCGTCGGCGGGCGTACCAGCGGGCTGAAGCGCGCTCCTCTGGCGCTGTTTCTTGTCCTCCATATCACGTAGTATGGAGCGCCACGCTGACGCGGCGCCTTTCCGTCTCTCTTTCTCTCGTCGGGCCGCTCGCGGACGCCTGCACCCGTCAGCCGAGCGCCGGCCGGGTGGTGCCACCCGCCATCTGTAGCGCAGTCAGTGATCTCCAACTCTGGACAGTGGCTCGCCTTCTCGATCCAGCCGCCTAGCAAATCATGTGTGACGCGTAGCCCGTTGATCTTGTGGGCGCCAGTCGACTCCGGTGTACTGCTGTTGGCGAGCGCAGCTTCCGCTCTATTATGTGACGCGTGATGGGCCCGGCCCTGCGCGGCCGTGGCTTGCACGTGTGCGCCGTGCTGCTCCTGGACGCCGGTGGCGCGGTGCGCCCGGCGCCGGCCGCGCCCACCTGTCCCGTGCCGGCCCCGTTTGTGTTACGCCGCCCGAATCGGGCGAGACCGCGTCCCGACCGGCCGCCGGCTGCGGCTGCCCCAGTCACAAGGGCGCGGCGCGGCTGTCCGTGCCCGCGCGCGCGCGCGCGCACGCTGGCACGTCGGCCGATGTCGCGGCGCCGCCGCCGTCTGTTGGGGTGATCGCACCTAGTTACTGGATCCTGCGGGGGTATTTTTGTGAGCGTGCGCGGTGGGCGCCGTTGGATGGTCGGATCGAGGCCTGTCTGAGAGGTGCGTCGGCCGGCGGCCGGGGCCGGCCAGGTGCCCTGTCATGCCCGTCGCTGTGCCACCGCCGCCCGGCCGGCCACCTCCGAGCGCTAATTCACCTGTAGAATGTGATAGACGGACTGACCTCAGGGTATATGGAGGTCATTCCGATAGACCAGAAACAAATAAATTATGTGCACCGTGGCGCCAGCGTTAGATTGGGCCGTCCGGTGCTGGGAGGAGGCTCGCTAGCCTCAAACGGCTACAGGAGGGAATATCCCGTGCCACGACTCCGACGTGGATGCAGTCGCTTTGACACAAGAGGCTGGAATGCTGCAGCGGAAATAACAACAGGCCACTTCGAGACTCGTTTCCATGTTCTGTCAAAATGGCCAGCGCGGCGTATTTCGGTGAGCCTCATCTGACGTCGCAAGTCCAACAAACAGACGATGTGTGGCGCGTCGCGCAGCGGAAGGACAAATACGACTGGACTTGTGTGGTTAAGCATCCTCGAGGTTTTTGCCATGCTCGTCTTGCCCCGCGCATGACACGGCCAATGACTAACGGCAGACGACCGGCAGATCACGGCTGTCTTCCTCGCACTAGACGAATGCCCTCGTAAATGAAGCCTGGGCACACTGGAAGGGTTTAGGGTGGCTTGCCTACGGTGCCGCCCACCGCGCTTGACCGCGGGCACGTCATCAGAAGAGGCCTTTGCGTAGTGACGTCACGGATTCACTGGACCGACTTGGCACGTGCCAAGAGCGGTAGTGTCGCTCCCTTGGTGGGGCGGTCATGGCAATGGCTTCAGGGACAGAGACTGGCCACTCTGGGGTGGGCCGCCTTCGGATTGTTGAGGCGATTAGATCCGGGCTATGAAGCTGACTTTACAGTAGTGTGCTGCAAAATAGCGCTGTTGTTCATTTTGACTGATGACACTGAACGTGGGTGGGGCTAAGTTGTTGGCACCTATTTCTGCTTGGCTGGGATTGAGACAAGTTCGGTCTTCATTGGCCACTTCATGGCTATGTGGTGGAGAGGAGAGACAAGAAGTGGGCCGAGCATGGGCCATCGCGGGATCGCTTCCCATATGTCTTTCCCCGCCATCCGTCGCGCCGGGTCTTCCCCAGTGTTTGTGCGGGGCCATCCCATGGTGGCTGTGGCCACGCTGCATAAATACAAGTCAGTTTTATAGGATTCAATGGGACGTAACTGCCCACATAAACGACGTGTGCCAAAAACACGCATGCTAGTGGGATGCCCCGCCTCAGCACCATGTGATCTGTTTTTATATTTAGCTGCAGTCGGCATCTGACATAGTATGATGCTGCTGCACGCCGCTCTTTTGCGCTGATAGTTTCCGTTGTGACTTCATGCAGCGTGTACAACCTTGTCACGACGTGGCGCAGTGTCCGGATCGGTTCATGTCAGCTGGCTTTTTCGGATTCAAGTTTTCTGCCCTTCACCCCGTGACACCTATCAAGCTGTTCATAGAGTAAACAATACAGCGTGTTCGTTTCCTTGCCATGCATTCAGCTCGGTCGGTCTTAATGCTCATCAGATAAAATCTTTTTAACCTTCTACCACGATCGTAGTATCACCTTTGCGACTCATCTTGTCCTCATTACCTTATGATCAACATATTAATTTTCTCACTGGGGATGAAAAAGCGCGCGTCATACATGCTGTGTATTTATTATCCCTATCAATACAAATGACTCACGAATAAATGCCAATGTATGACAATGACAATGTACACGGTGAGGGATGAAAGAACGAGCAACAGATACATCTCTCCATAATAATCACCAATAAAAACGGCGAGCCGGACTACACGCAGCTAGCAATCACATTATATATGTATAGACGCGCGGCGCGGCGCCTAGCACTCTGCAAGCCTGGAATGACTGGGGCGCGCCCGGTCCACGGGCAGGGTGGCGCCCTCTCTGATGGCCGCCAGGTGGGGCGGCTGCAGCGTGCACACCACCTGGTCGCCGCTGAGCACGGCCATCGCCACGTTCTCGCCGTAGCCGCGCAGCCGGCGCAGGTCGTGGTACATCTGCGCCTGGTCAAAGTCCCGCAGGCGCGCCTCGCTCAGCGCCTGGCAGTGCGGCGCCGCCTGACTAGCGGCGAGCGCGCGCGCCTGGCCGCCGCCGGCGCGCACCGCCCGCTCGGCGCCGTACGGAATCAGCGGCCGGTTATCACTGTAGTTGCGCGAGCTCTGTCGGCTCATGTCCGACTGCTTGCGGTCCTCGTCGCTGACGTCCGAGACGAGCAGCTCGTGGCGCGGCTCGTGGCGCTCGATCTCCTCGTACACCGGGTCGCCGTCCACCTCCATGTAGGTGTGGTAGGGCGAGTGGGAGCGGCCCCCGCGCCCGCCGCGTCGCACCTGCTGCTGGTACACGGCGAAGAACTCGGGGTTGACGCGCGGCCCCAGCTCACCCGGCTGCACGGGCACCAGCACGGCGGCCGGCCGCTCCAGGCTCGGTGCCGACGCCAGGTAGCGCACGTTGTTGAGCGTCAGATGCGGCGACTCGTTCTCGGAGCCGGTGCCGTGGCCTGAGTCGTGACTCTGCATGTTGTAGGCGCCGCTCTGCAAGAAGGGAGGGGGACGTCAGTCAGGCAGGTCACGCGGCCTGATCCGTGCACGGCGACGGGGATCGATTGCCCGTCTGTCTAGACAGCTGCTCAGCCGCCGCAGCTGGCCGGCAGCTGGGTGGGCGGGGACCAGGCCGACGCAAGTGACGAGGATACGGTAGGCCAACGGAGAGACATGGCAGACCCGGAACGTTTGGTAACGCTTCAGAACTTGTGGCACAAACACAATGCTTTCCAGTCACGTCTGATATAGTAAATCTGGATTCAATGTCTGATAGGACACTGTAAAAAGGTCCATCACGACAAACGTGAAGTAGCAATGCCAACAGCCTTGAGCAGCCTGCGCCACTTGCACCACAAAAGCCACTGGGCATGGTACGAAAAACTCGTCGGCTACGCAGCAGTGCAGGTGAGAGCCAGCAGTCCCCGAGCGCCACCTGACGGCAATCCGCACGTCAAGAAAGAGGTCACAAGGTCGCCTCACCTTCTCGGCGGCCAGCACCTCGCCGCCAAGACTCGTGCGCAGCTTGGCCGGCATAGAGCTGCGCATGGTGCCGCGCCGCAGGCTACCGGCCGGCGTGTGAGCCGGGTTCAGCGAGTTCAGCGTGGCCGACTTGGGGTTGGTCGGCGCGTGCGGCGACCACAGGCGCGGGATCTGAGGCAGGCGGGCGGTGACAACACGGCGACACGGAGCCAGCGGTGACTGACGCTCAGGGGCTGTTGCTGAGCGTTTGGAATTGGAGACAGGCTTCAGCGCAACAAACCCTTTGAATCTAAGCACTGAGGCCCGTCACCAAACACATTTCAGATAGTCAATGTGCGCAACGGTGCCATTGAAATTATATGCCAAATGTGTGGTATGCTGTATGTGCGCTGAGTGCTGACCATGACACAAAACACCCGACGAGGCAGAAGATGAACCAAAGCGGACAGGTGGGTGCGCGGTTGCCATGCGGACATCACAGGAGGAGGGTGACGTCATGCGGTCGGTCGGAGCGTGAGCCGAGACGTACATTGTTCTGCGTGGCCAGGTTGAGCACGGTGTTGATGGTGCCGTTGCTGGTGGAGAGCGCCTCGGCGTGGTCGCGGCCCAGCGTCTTGGAACTCTTCAGGCAGACGGGTAGCAGGCCGTGGCTGTCCAGCTCCTTCCTTACCTGATGCGACGTCACAGAGCATGCTACAGAGCGTGCACACGCAGCTCACGGACAGCGGTGCAGGCACAGCCACACGGATCCCCGAGCGTGAAGCCCCGGCGGGCAGGACTCCGACTCAACAGGGCTCGAAAAAAACGGCTGAGGAGGGGCCAAACGACCCATGGCCAAACAGCGAACGTACACAAGCCTCGGGCGGCCGGCAAACATCCCCGCGCGCAAAGCAGGCGAAAACCGAGAGAGAAGCTTGGCATGCAGACAGACAGCCCTCGCACGCGTACCTTCTCGTTCTGGACACAGTGCAAGGCGAAGATGAAGAGTCCGAGCAGCGCGTTGGCCACGGTGAAGAGGTAGGCCATGACAACGGTGCGCTGGTCCAGGAACACCAGGCCGAACGTCCAGGTGAGCACGAGCAGCAGCAGCAGCAGAAGCGCGGCGCGCAGCCAGGCGCGGATGTAAGAGAGCCGCGACTGCTCCTTGGTCTTGATGGTGATAGCGGCGCTGCTGTGCTGCAGCATCACGAACACGGCCAGCCCCAGGAAGATGGCGGTCAGCTGAAAGTGGGGGCGGCGGTCAGCGGGGCGTCGGAGTTGTTTGGCACGTGGACACGAAAGCGTGGCGTCGTACAGCAAACACGCTCGTAAAGCGCCGCCGTCCGCACGCACTGCGCCGCTGCCGCCGCGTAAAAACAGCCCGTATTGAACGGCGCTGCATAATGCATGAGCGGCGATTGGTTCCGCCTGGTCATACTGCAAACAGGCATTTGAATGCGTGCCGTTGAAACTAGAGTCGCGTCACGGCCAAATGACAGTCGACAAATCCCACCCAGTGAGGCGTATCAGTGGGACAATTCAAACACCACAACGCGGCCGGCGGAGGCCGACCTGCCGCTTCAGGCGAGAGGCGAGAAAACATCACGGAGCGGCAGCGCCGCACACCGGCCGGGCGTGAAGCCCGCCGGCGAGCCGCGGCCGCGACTGCGAACTCGCGCTCACCAGGATCAGGATGATGGCCGGGCCGGCGAAGCTGAAGACGAAGTAGTTGTCCGTGCGCAGCCAGCAGTGCGACTCCGTGCCGTAGCTGATGGGGTCGACCACGCAGGAGACGGCCACGATCAGCAGCGGGATGCCGTAGGCGGCCACGTAGTACCACTTGAGCCGCGACCCGCTCGCCCTCAAACACCGTCAGCGTCACGTACAGCTGGAACGCCTCGAAGAAGAGCCAGAAGAAGGCGGCCATCAAGAAGAAGTGCATGAGGCCGGCCAGCACGCCGCAGACCACCGGGCTGCCGGTCTGGTGCAGGCCCACCAGGAAGCTCAGCTCCACCATCAGCAGGCACACGATCAGGTTCTTGTGGATGGAGGTGCGGTCCGACTGCAGACCCCGCAGCAGGATGAGTGCCAGCAGCGTGGCGCAGAGGCAGAGCAGGGCCACGGCGCAGCCGACGTACACCACGATCCGCAGCGCCTGGTCGTCCTGCGTCAGCGGCGCCGCGAACACGTCCATGAGCACGGCGAAGCTGGTCAGGTGGTCGCACTCGCACATGGTGTGCGTGCGGTTGGTGAAGGTGACGCGGCAGCCCTCCTCCGACCACATGTTGACCGTGTAGTCCCAGAAGGAGCAGCTCGGGTTGGTGACGTTCTCGGTGGTCAGGTGGCGGAAGGTCATGTGCACCGGCTGCGACAGCTGGATATGGCGGCCCTCGCCCAGCGACGCCGACAGCACCAGGCTGTTGACGATGCGAGTGCGGTTGGCCGCCGGGTAGAGCGCCGCCTCGTGCCGCCGCTCTGACCAGCTGAGCGGCTCCAGCACCGACTCCAGCCCGCTGTAGGCCAGGAACACCACCTTCACGGTGCCGCGCCGGCTGTTCTCCAGCAGCGACGCCTTGCTCAGGTGCATCGAGTTGCCGGCGATGTCCCACTGGTCCAGCGCCACGTCAGACGGGAAGTGCAGGTCGGTCATGCTCTCCACTTTCTTGTTGTGCACGGTCATTACTGCAATGGGAGCACATGCGGTCAGACTCGAGGCGTTACTACGGAGGTCACAGCACGGCAAAAGAGAGTATAGAAACTTTTCGATAAGCCCCGGGAAAGAATGCCACTAGAAATGGCTACCCGCAAGCACATCGGTAGATGTATAGGAGCCACAAGGTAACAAAGAATCGGAAATTCTACCGCAACGCTCTAAAGTCCCGTGTCCATCTTTCGGAAGCCCTGCTTCGCGCCCACTACGCCACAGCGGCGCAGGCCCACCGCCGACGGCATCTCACTCGCGCCAGCCACTCACGCAGGTTCCGGTCGATCTCGAGGATGGTGCGGTCGGGCAGTACGTTGTCGCTGAGCAGAAAGGCGTTCTGCTCAAGCCCGATGAGCAGCGAGGTGGCGGCGCGGCGCCGCTCCTCCGGCCCCAGGTCCCGCCAGGCCGCCAGCTGGCCGGCGTCCAGCACGTTGCTGGCGGCGCGCACCACGTCCTCGGTGAGCTCGGTGACGATCGCCTCGCGCCGCTCCACGGCCGGCACGGCGATCAGCTGCTGCGCCTGTCGCGACGCCAGGTGGTTCACCAGGCGCGCCGCCGTGCGCACGTCGCCGCCGAACAGGCCGTCGGAGCGGTCGGTGACCTGCGCCAGCTCGGCGGCCACGCGCAGCGTGTGCTCGCCGCTCAGCAAGCGCTCCTCCAGCGCCGCCATCAGGATCGACTTGCACTCGCTGAGGTCGGGCCGCGCGGCCCAGGCGGCACGCGCCGGCGGGCTGCCGGCCGCCGCCGTCGCCGCCGCCGCGCCGTGCTGACACGGCCAGCGCGCGTAGCCGGTGGCGCCACCTGGGCAGGCGAGCACGGCCACGTCGCCGGCGCGCGTGTAGTTCCAGCGCAGGCCGCGAGAGGTCCGCGCCGGGCAGTAGTGCGGGCTGGCCGCCAGCCAGGGGTCGGGCAGGGTCGGCGCCGGCTGGGCCGCCGCAGGACGCCGCGACGAGCCTGCAACGGAGCGGGGGGCGTGCCGTGAGCGGGTGACCGGACGCCGGCGGCGCATGACCGGACGGCTCGCCGACAGCTGCCGGTCGCCCGTAAAACAAACCCCGCCGCGTTTACGAGGTGTCGGAGCGAGACGGAATCGCTTGGTTTGGCTGGGGGCGGACGAGCGACGGAACGGGCGCGGTTAGTGGTGAGTCACACGGGCAGGTGGCGCTGGCTCACCTGGCGGCCGGCGCGTCGTTGTCCGCGCCGAGCTGGTGCTGACCGGCCGCGGCGTCGTCCTCGGCTTCGCCGTGGCGGCGGCGGCGTCGCCGTCAGCGGCAGCGGCGGCGGCAGCGGTAGTGGTGGCGGCGGTGGTGGTCGCCGCGGTGGTGGTGGTGGAGCTCGCCGGCCGGTCGGGCGCGACGACGCCTCGCTGCGCGCCGTCGGCCGGCTGGACGACCGTCACCAGGCGGCCGTCGCCGTCTGACTCGACCTTCTCCACCCTGCCGCCCTGCTGGCGGCGGCCCGTCACGCCCGGGATGATCACCTGCACGCCGTCGTTGGAGGCGGCCGGCGGCAGGCCGGGCAGCCGCGGCCGGCGCGTGGTCGTGGTGGCCGGCGGCCGGCGGGAGGTGGTCGTGCCGCTCGTCAGCCACAGGTTCGGGTCCGGATAAGACGAGTACCACGGCGGGTGCGGCCGCTTCGTCGTCGTCGTGGAGGCGGCTGGAGACGGACGTCGGTTAGTTCGCACGCGGACGACACGGACGGACGGGCAGGCGCTAGGCACGCGGCCACGCGACGTTACAGCGAGCTGGCAAGACTCATCGAAACAGACGTGACCGTTCAGGGGCGCCGTCTCAAGAAACAGACGTTAACGTTCAGAGACGCTGTTTCAAGAAATAGACGTCACCGTTCAGGGACGCCGTCTCAGGAAACAGACGTCACCATTCAGGGACGCTGTCTCCAGAAACAGCCATCGCCATTCAGGGACGCTGTCTCAAGACACGGCCAGACACGGTTCCGGGCGGCGCATAAACACGAGCTGGTTAATTAACGGTCGCGGCGGCTCGACAAACAATCAGCATCTGACATTCAGCGCTTTGAAGAGAGCACGCGAGCTCCGGTCGATATCGCCTGCCCGCCGGCGGCCGCGGGCGGCGTGCACGACAGAGGGCGCCGGACGGGTGCGCTGTGCAGGGTGCATGCTCACAGCTGCGGCGGCCTGCCGTGCAGAGAGCACACCTGACCGCTCGTCGTGCAGTGCAAGCAATTTTCATGCAGAGCAGCAGATAACGGGCTTGACATGTACAGGATTTATAAGAAACTCACACAAAGGTCGGCAATTTTGCGCTAATGTACCATTGTGCATGGCTTTGGGCCGGCCGGGCAAGCCTGTCCAGCAGTTCGTGCAATCACATTAGCCGGCCGCCATGCCGCCGGCCATTACCCGTGGCCGGTACGCGGAATCAATCGAGTGTAAAAATTGTTTATGACGCGGGGATGGGTTTATCGGTCCGCTTTATGGAACAATTACTTGCCGTTTTCTTATCGGGCGACAGTTACAACACCCCCGGCAACAAGTGTGCGACAGCGGGGCCGACAGGCCGGCGGCCGCCGGCTGCTGCACGCTGCCCGGCCTGGCCGCCGGCTGTCGCACGTTACCCCGGCCTGAGTTGAGGCGTGACGTCACGCGGTCCGGGCGTGCCGGCCCGTCCGACGCGGGCACGTGCGCGGCCGCTTTCACGTGCGAGCGTGCACACAAAGCGCCTCCCTCTCTCACTCACCGACTCACTCGCTCACCCACTCGCATGCGGGGACACTGAGGCATGCGCGGGAGCGGAGGCGGGTGGAACGAACTGGCAGGCGAGCTTCGTCAGCATGCGGACCCGGCTACGGAGAGAGCGGGTTACCTCTCTTGCGGCACTGAAACTGGGCCTCCAGGTATTTGAAGGTGGCCGGGCAGGCGTCACCGAAGGTGGCGACGTTGGCCGTGACGGTACAGGCGCGCCGCTTGTCACAGCTGCCGGACAGCCGGCCGCGGTCAGCGGGGTCACGCGCGGTCAAGGTCGGCTCCCGCGGGAGTCCGGGCGACGGCCGCGGGCCGAGCGGCGCCATGGGAAACGAGGAACGGGGACAGGACTCTCGCGCCGGGTCGTTAGACAAGTATGCATTTTTTACGCCAGGCACGCGGGTAGCGCCGTGGAATGCGTGAGCCGGCGACTGCGGCCCGGTTCTTTTCACGATGGCCGGGGGGTGCAGCGGGTCTCTTCGTTCCGGGCCGGTGAGGTGGTCGGGCCAGCCGGCGCTGGGCAGCGTCTGGCCCCGATTCCCGCCTCCCGCGGCTCTAACGACCGCACGCGCCTCGGCCGGCCGCGGCGCCGGCGGCGACGGCGGCGCGCGGGGCGGCGGCGGCGGCGGCGCGCGCGCGCCCGCGCCGGAACTGTACCCGTCTTTCGCGCCGCCGGCTGGGGGAGCCTGATTAAATTAGACATTGAAGGGCATTGCGGATGTTGCAGGGTGAATGATGGGGCCAAATTATAGCCTGGCCACGTCCATGAGGCCGGCGGCAATTAGCAATTCCGATTGACGTTGGTCGGGGCGCGATCGGCTTTGTTCGCCGGCGCTCCACGCACGCCGTAAACCCGACGCTGCCGGCCAGACAGAGAGGCCGCTGCCGCACCGGTCAGCCGCTCTCCGGTTTACGACATTTTTGGCGTCGGCGGGATGTCGTGCGGACGGTGACGGCGGTGGAAGGGGGGGGGGGACCGGTCCAGGTGAGCGCGGACAGCATGCCGCGGTGGCTCCCGAGGCTGGCCCGTGGGAAGGTCAGGGAAGACGGCCGGGCGGCTGCGAGCTACGCCACTGAAAACTGGGTTAGTTGGTTAGTGACAGGGGACAGAAAACCCGAAGACACCGCCACCACCATGCCGATCCGGCAGAGCAAGCTAAACCAACCTGATACACAGCTGTAGTGGACTTCAATGTACTTAAACGTTCCAGGACACGAGTCTCCGAACTTCTCGGCGGTGACGTCAACAGAACACTTATTGCCAACTGCCGCAACTGAAAATCAACCGAAACAAAGTCAACAAAACACATCAAACTCGCTGAAAACAAAGAAAAGGGCAGTCTGGGGAAACACAGCTGTGCGATCAGTGCCACATAAGACGGCGGAAGCGCCCGACTTCCGGACACTGGGCGGCGAGGGCGCGAGAGCGGCGGGTGTCCGATACTTCCGCCCTCCGCTGCAGGACCGTCTGATCTCCTCGACCCACCACCCTCAGCAGCCCCTATCCCAGCGGCTGCCAGACCGCATGAATCCGTCACCAGCCACCACGCCGGCACAGCACATCTGAGCCCGCTACACTCCGCCCCGGGACCAGGCGCGCTCCTACAGCGGCGCCCCCCTAACTCGTGACCGTGCCCCACATCGTGGCGCGGCCCGCCGGGCCCTGTGACAGTACCGCGCCGGGCGGCAGGCCGTAAAGCGCTATAATTTACGGCGCACTCTCCGGTGCGGCTAATAGATTAGGTGCGGCGCGATCCGACCCAGCGCTGCCGTCACGGCGACGGCGCTGCACGGAGGCCGCGCCGCTCAGCTGTGACGCGACCGTCCTTCCGCGGGGACGCCGGCCGACGGCGTCGCGCCGCCGTCGTCCGTCGCGTCGGCGTCGACGGCCGTCACGGTCCGCTGGACGGCGGCCGCCGACCGACGGCTCCTGTGAGGCCCATGCGCCGCACATTGAAGAGCGCCGCCGCCGTCGGCCAGGGCATGTCCGACAAAGGTCGCGTGGACATTACACGCCGGCGGCGTGCATCATTTAATATCGCGCCTGCCGCACGGTCTATGATCCCTTTGGCAAATCCAAGGCGACCTACGACACAGACGCCGTGCATCGGGCTAATGATGTGCGGCGTTCTGTGGAGCGGGCGCTGTGCCTCGTGTGTCGCCATGCGGCGGGACTGGCGCGGCCCCTGACACCGGCTGGAATGCATACAAGCACCTGCGCATAACTCCAAGGAGCCCGCGCTCGGGCGGAACAGAATTCGGAATCAGAAGCGGCCCGGCCAGAGACGCTGGGCGCCGGCAGCCGCGGCGCCGGCAGCCGCGGCGACGGCGGCGGTGGCGGCGGCAGCGGGACCGGTTCCCGCCGCCGGATCGGTGGCTTTCCTCGCGGTCTGATCGGGCCGATCACTGTGCACGGCTCGCCGCGGGAGAGGCCGCGCCAGCCCCACCGGATGGCCGGCGCTGGCTGGCGCGGCGGGTCCGCCTGACACCGCTAAACGGCGGTAGCCAGCGAACGGCTGGAGGGCACCGACGGGGAAGGAAATAGCGTCCCGAAGGAAAACAGCTGCGAGTTCTGTTGCAAATGGCTGAGTAACATAGGCTACGACATAAAACAATACATGCATGAAATGTGAAATATACTCATGCTTCCCCGACTATCAGATTTGGCCTTACTTAAGGATAATGAAGATAAGATGGCTGACAGAAAATCGCAACACCGACACGCAACAAAAACACGGCGCGCCGAAATCAAAGCAACGACTACCCGTCTCTTGTGAGCTGTCTACTGCCCGCAGCCTGGCCGCCAGCCAAGCCAGCCGCAGAGGACCGGAGAGCGGAGCTGACCGCCGGCCATGACGCTGAGGCGCACCAGGGCCGTCAGCTGGGAGGGCCACCAACGCAGCCGGGCCGCCCGTGACCGTGTCCAGCCGCCCCTGTTGCACAATGTCACAGATTGCGCGTGAAATCGATCACCGTCGGCCCGTGCAGGCGCCGGCGCCATCCGGTCCGATCTGGTCCGGTCCGGTCGCCGCCGCTCCTGATGGGCACCTGGCGCACCCGCCGGAAACACGCGCACGGCCGCCGCGCCCACCCGGGCCGCCGCCGCCGCCACCGCCGGCGGCGGCGTCAGCACGTGATCTGACAGCAGGGGACAGCTCGCGCGCAAAAAACGGCGCGGGCAGAGCGCACCGCGGCAGCGCTGTCGGCTGCAATCAGCCAGCGACTGTCCCAGCAGCCAATTAGGCTGGCCCCGTGCACGCCCGGCTGGCGGTTTTTTTCGGCCGCATGCTAAATGTCGGTGTCGATCGATGTGTGCGTGGGAGGGGGGAGGGGGGAGGGGGGGCGCACCAGCGCCCCACGCGCCGCGGTGCCCGCCGGCGCCGGCCCACGCCGTCAAAGTGGGCCGGCGCATGCGAGCCGCGCGTAAAGTCACCCATTAAACAGCGCCATTGTCTCCGGTCGACAGTTGTTTGCTCAGGCGGCTCGCCGGCGGCGCTTAGCCGGCTTCGACGCTCCGTCGCGGCCGACGCGGCGACAATCGGGCCCGCCGGCGCCGACGCGCCGAGCAAAAACCGCCGCAGCAGGGCGGCGGCCGACGTTAGCCGCCGTTACACGCCGCAGCGAGCGGGCGTCAGCCGGAGGCGAGCGCTGTCGGGCGAACGCGGCGGCGCGCCGACATCGGACCGACGTCCGTCGACGTCGTAAACAGGTCGTCACGCCGCCCGAGCCGACGCGACGTTCACAGAACGGCCACGTCCGCCAATCCGCGGCACGGTCACAGGCGCCGCGGCGTGACGTCACAGGCGGCATGCGGAAGCGTCGTCGCCCCGGTGAAGGAGACAATACGGCGCGCGGCCGGCGGCCGTGCGTCAATTAAAGTCGGCACGCAATCAGCTGTTGGCGCGGCTTGCAGACGCGCCGCCCCGCGCGGCGAACGGCGCAGCCGCACCGCGATGAAGACGTTAGGCGTCCCCGGCGGCCGATTCTCGCGCCGCATCTGGAGCTCGCCTGTCGGGCGCCGATAACGACCCCGCCTGTACATGAATATTAAATGCGGCACGAATTCCGGTCGCTGCAGAGCGCCGGTTGAAGATGGCAGCACCGCCGCGGGCGCCAGCAGCCCGGCCCATGAAGGCGGTCGGGACCTCAGCGTCGAGCCGATCCCTGCATCATATCGAGGCGACGAAAGTCGATGATTAACGTGCCGGTTCTGCTGCCGACACGGATCGTAGGAGGGAGGCGGGGTAGGGGCGGGGGAGGGGTCTCGCGTGACGCTCCGACCAGCGCTGGCGGCGGCCGACTGCTGCTCGGGTGCCGGTCAGGACCCCGCCCCTCCCCCCCACTCCCTGCCCCTCCCCACCCCTCCAACGCTCGTGGATACGGCCACTTGGCCCCGTCCGAAATGACAGCGAATCAAGCTTTCAACAGTTCGCCGTTCCACAGCGCCAAATGAAACAACAGTGCGCATGCAATGGGGTCATAGCCGTGTTAATCGGTGCCATGTGGCTGTCATCAGGGCCTGGGGGCCCTCCCACCGGAGCTGGCGGAGGTGCTGCCCCGCTGTCGAACGGCACGCTTTATAGCGCCAGATTGGCACCCTGGGGCACAGCGGAATTGATTAAGTCCGTGCGGCAATGACGTTTTTGATAAATATATACGTCGGCGCTCGTTTGGCCGGCGACACGGTGTCGCGCCGCGGTCCCCCTCCCCCTCCCCCACGACCTCGTCGGCGCCATCTTAATTTTCCGGCTGCTTGTCTCCATATGTCACTGGCGGGACAAAGGTGGTCGCAGAGGAGCCCGACCGTAACTCAGCTAAGCTCGCGTCCGTCACCCTGTTATTATGTAAAATTATCCCGCGACGACCGTGGCGCGCCGCGCTAATTGCTGTTTTCTTCTGGTGGCTCGCGTGAAGCGGGCTTGCCGAAATATCGTCCCATGCACGGCTAATTCCACGCGCGAAGATGCTAATTAAGATATTTTTCACAGGTGTTCGCGGCAAAAACCATGCGCTCGTTGAGCGTGCACCGCTGGTATAACACGCTGATCCCGTGCACACGAGTGGCGCGGGAACAGGAACACCGCGTGGCGCCAAAACCGCCGGCGGCCGCGGGTCGTGTGCGCTGCGAAGGCGCCGAACACAATGGCAGCGTGCAGGCGTTGTGCCTGCAGAGGCTCGCTCAGCTGAGCAGCCTGCATGTCATCGCCGAGCGGAGGAAACCGCCGTGGCGGGCGCGTTAATAGGGGGGACAAGGGGGTGGGGGGGGGGGGGGAGCATGAGGAGTCTGATGTACAGTAGCATTGTGAGTTAAGTCCAAAAAACCAGCCCCGTGGACCTGTTGACGAAACTAACCACTGTTATGAGATCCAAAAAAGCCTTTTTCTGAAGATTCAAATCGATCTCAAGCCTATTTGAAATGGATCCCAAAGCTCAGGACGTCCTCAGGCGAAGTTTTCAAGGCACTGCATTCCTCGTCATAACTCTAAGAAACGCGTAAAACGCGCAGTCCTAAGAAACCCAACCACAATTTTTTATATGCGTATATATGTATGTTCTAGGTGGCTACGATCAAATGTGTTCTGAATCATGGAAACAAGCTCTTTGACCGATCAGAAACCTTCTCCCAATGCAAAACATTTACAACCAGCCGCAAGTCCGGCAGCAATACATGCCAGGCGAGGCAGATCGCAAAACCTTCTCGGTGAAATTGAAGATCAAAGAAACTTAAGACGGGATGCATAGGCAGTCACTGGACAGAACCCCGTGGAGGCTTGTGCGGTTGGTCAGCCAAAAATTATTCACCAAAATAGATTCCCAAACGTCCCATGCCGTTATTTTAACACGTACCTTCGAGCACAAGGGCTCTTAATAAATTAATTAAATAGTCTTGGCTCCTAGGGGATCATTTGCAAACACATGAAAAAAGCTTCATGGTGAAAAACCCTCTGACCAAAATCTACAAGATGTAAAACAAAAATTACGAACCACAAAAGCTGGAATTTCTTTAAGGCAACATGGATATCTACCCGCGCAAGGTTGGATATCCATGACTGAATGTCTAAATCCTAGCATCCACTCCTGCGGCGCGCGCACACGGCTGCTGCCTACATCACGGATCATAGCGCCGCCGGTTCAGATGGGGCCGCCGCCGGCCGCCGGCGCAGTCATGACCAGGCGAGGTCAGCCCCGCCCGGGGCCGGCGCGCGCGCGTGCCGCGCCCGTCTGCCATGCCGCGCGCCGTCTCACGCACGCGCGTGAACCAAACAATCGGCCGTCCGGTCCCACCGTGGCGCCCGGCTGGGACTCGGTCTTAATTACAGAGCAGACGGCGGGCGGGCCGGTCGGCCGTTTTTGCGCCGCCAGCTCGCTCTATTCAGATCAGGCTCGGTGGTCGGCATTCCTGGGGCCGGGTCAGATGGATAGCCGCCGGCGAACAATGCCGCCCCCCGCGTCGGGAGAGCGGCGGGGGGGGGGGAGGGGCTGCGCCAGCCGCGCCTCGGAACCCGAGCCGCGCACTTTCTAAACATCACCGCGCGCTGCAGTCGGCTAATAGATCACCGCGGTCCATACATCGGCTGTTATTAGTTACGAAATTTCACCACGACCAGTTAATTATTTCGGCGACCTGGCCTGACCCGAGGCGAGGTGCGATCCCCGTGAATGATTCTTCATTAGAAAGCTATTATTGCAGTGTGTGCGCGACTGAATGGAGCCCGCCTGACGCCGTTATTGATAGGGTTTCAACACACGGGCCGGTCGCGCCGGCCGTGGATCGGTGTTGGTACATGTCGCTGGTGGCCGGCCCCATGGCGCCCCCGCCCACGTATCGGCGGGCATCGCGGCGGCGAGGGATGAACGACGCTGATTTATTGAAATAATAACAGAAGTTCCTTGCAGAGCCTATCCCATAATTGTATTCATGTAATGGAGGATGCACATCCGTGCACGAAATATCCTGCATGTGGCGGAGGCTGGGTCTAATTGTTACACGAGCAGGCCGTTGCAGTGTCGGTATCCCAATAATCTGGTGCCCGGGCGCGGCAGGAGCGTGACTGTGCTTCACTCAATCATCTAATGAGCGTTCTATCCCCGTCGGAGACCAGTACCGGGGCTGCTCTAGTTCCATCCCAGCCCCGTGTCAACTGCACATAGTCGCTCACATCTGCACAGCCCTGCTCACAGGCAACCCTTCCCATCATCCCGCCAGTGCGTGACATCTCGCGCTCTCTCGCGTCCGCGGCCGAGCCAGGTGACACTGTTCTCCGGCCGGCGCATGAGGTCGTGGTCGGCATTGTTCCTCCGCGACATTACGATACAGCGCGGCGAAAGCGTCTGGGGCGGGCAGGTCAGCATTGTTCAGCTGAACACTGGGGGGAGCCGCCATTGTTGTCAGCCGTGTCGCGAGCGCGGTGAGCGCTTCCTTGCTCTGTCGCCGCGTCACAGTGTCACTGTTTCTTGCACGTGTCGCCGCATACCGGATCTTGGTGTTGCCATGCCACCTTATGCTTACCAAACTTGATACACATTTTGTGAAGTACCTCATATTTGCCCGTTGCGTACCTACTTCCCAGCTCAGCCGAGCTTATCACCTATCACCTGTCCCACCTGCTCGCGTAAACTCGTCCCACATAGCACAATGACCTGAACCGAGTCCACCAACAGCCAGCGGCGGGAGGCATCGTAGCTTACCTCTGCTCCAGCACGCGCAGGGAGCGCGGCGACATGCAGTTGACGCTCCAGTCGGTGTTGCCCTTCTCGTTGCAGATGGTGATGGAGAAGCGGCCGAAGTTGGCTCGGATCAGGTTGATGAGCTCGTCGTCGCCACACTCCAGCTTCAGCGTCGAGCCCTCGCAGGCGTACACCGTGCTGTAGCCGGCTGCAACGGGCGCACAGAGGCGGGTCAAGCGCGCGGACAGGTTAGGCGTCCAGGCGTGACACAGCCCAGGCGGGTCAGGCGCGTGGACAGGCCAGGCACTCAGGCGTGTCACAGCCTTGGCGGGTCAGGCGCACGGACAGGTCATGGCCCAGGCGTGTCACAGTCCAGGCGGGTCAGGCACATTCCGTCACGCGCAAAAGTACGTTGAACGCTGCGCCTAAAGCCTCCCCCACCATAACCCCTCCATCGGTACCGATGCGGCCGGCGGTGACGGTGGCGGAGACGGCGGCGGCGGAGGCGTCACAGGGCGCCCGCGGGACCCGTCCGCTGGATTAGGGACGACGCCGGCGTGCGCCGTTCGACGCGACCGATGAAAAATTGAGCGCGATTGAGATATCGCTCGATTGGCCGCCTCCGCCGAACGCCGATGCTATCGCGTCATTAGCATTCTCGCCGAAAATAGAGCTAATTAATAGACCCACCACCTGCTTTAACAAGCTATCGCAGCCAGAGTATTCCGGATCGGTCCCCATTTCCCAGGTTGAGCGATCTGGCGGCGTCATTCCATCACGAGTGGCAGACTCGGAGGGATCCTCGGCTTCCGGCGAGCAGGGACACGTGCACGGTTCGCGGGCGGCCGGGTCAGAAGCTGCTGGCGCCAGCTGACCCCTGAGTTGGTTCACCGGGATGATCGGCACGACCCGGGCGATTTTACGACTTTTATACGAGCGCCTCCTTAATGGAGGCGTCTCTGTTGAAATCATTAAACCGGCAACGCAAGCCGCCTATCCTTTACCTGATTGGGATCGCGCCTGGAAAACAAGGTCCTCGCTAAAAGCGGGCGGAAAAAGCCGGCCATAAAGTGATTTGCACCTTGGCAGTTAATTCAAGCCGCTGTCCCTCATTCTCCGAGACAAAAGAAGGCCTTGGTGGCGACCGCGCCGAAAGGTGGCGCGGACGTGGCGGAACAGTGCCGGACGCAGCGCGACTGCCACTGGTGGATTAATCGCGTCTTCCGACACATCGCGCCAAACAATGCCAACAGCGGGCCGGCTGGTAAATTGGTCGGCCCTCCTCCTGGTATTGTCTTGGCCGACGCGGCTGGACGGACGGGTTTGGCACGGCCGCCGATCAAGGGCGGCGACGTCCGCGGCGTTGGAATGCCAGTCGTCAGCCTCTCCCGCCGTGCGCAATGTTCAGCTCCAATACAATACAGCTCCGGGTACAATATTCCCCATATTTTTTCGGGACGCGGTAGGTTTGATCCTCCGACTGGCACCAGTGGGAGCCGGCCCCGGCCCCGCGTGCCTGGCTGCGCCCGTGCGTCGATCAAACGCCGCCGCCACGCCGGTGGCCGCCGCTGCCGACCGGGCGACGGCGCGGGGTTTAGCCCACATTAGAGTCGAGCGCGGAGGCGCTCTCTGGGCGCCGCGCCGCTGTAATGGTGAGTAAACAGCCGGAGGCGTCGGCGCACGGCCCGAGCCGGAGCAGCGCTGCCTGCCGGGGCCGGAGCAGCGCTGCCTACTGGGGCCGGAGCAGCGCTGTCTCTGGGGCCGGAGCAGCGCTGCCTACTGGGCCTGGAGCAGCGCTGCCTACTGGGGCCGGAGCAGCGCAGTCTCTGGGGCCGGAGCAGCGCTGACTACTGGGGCCGGAGCAGCGCTGCCTACTGGGCCCGGAGCAAAGCTGCCTGCTTGGGCCGGAGCAGCGCTGCCTCTGGGGCCGGAGCAGCGCTGTCTCTGGGGCCGGAGCAGCGCTGTCTCTGGGGCCGGAGCAGCGCTGTCTCTGGGGCCGGAGCAGCGCTGACTACTGGGTCCGGAGCAGCGCTGCCTGCTTGGGTCGGGGCGGCGCTGCCTGCTTGGGCCGGAGCAGCGCTGCCTGCTGAGCCCGGTTCTCGGCGCCCTCAGCTGTTCCGTGCCGACGCATCGCTTATCAAAACCGTCCAATTCGTATTAAATGAGGAGAAATATGCATCAACCGCTTTGTTCCTCTCCTCCCTGCAGCTCGACTAATTTATGGCTCCTTTAAAATGATACAGGATCAGCTTATAAAGAGTAATTTACCATGATTTATCCATGAGAAACGGGCCTAATTAACAGTCTATGAGACCTACAGCAGGTAGTGCGGCTGGCCGCCCCCAAACACCTTTTATTACGCCGCTGTCGGCCGAATATCAAGCGTCCGATTTTGATTTAATTTCCGCACCGGGGCTGCCGGTGGGTGCCGGCCGTTATACCGTCCCTCTCAACGGGTGCCGGGCAGGGGAGGAGTCCACCTGAGGTCGGCAGGAGGCGGGCATGGCCACGGCATGGACAAAGAACGGCGCACGAAGCTGTTCATCGCTGGCGCGGCGGAGCACTCGACTTCCCTTTCATCCTTTGGCTGCGATTGAAAGACACGCTGCGCGAAAGGCTCGCAAACAAGCGGCGGCTTACCACACACATTTTGACGGGACAAAATTAGCCGGCCGGATGCACACAGCACAGCGAGAAAGTACAAACGGACGTGAACAAACACCCGCGTGAGGAACGCAGACAGATCGGTGCGCACACAAGGAAGCGGAGACACCGGGGAGCGGGCCGACTGTCGCTGAGGCTGGCCCCCCAGCAGCCTCGGCGGCCGGCTCGCCGCTCAACCGGCATTGTCCGGCCGGCCTAAGTGCGCTAACGCCGCCTGCGTTTGGGGAAACTCTGTCAGATTTTGATGGATGAACGGTGGTTGTCGGGGGCGATAACGCGGGTCTGGCGGCCGGACTCGAGCGGCGCCTCCGGTCCCGGGCGGCAGATTCGTCCCGACCTGGGGAGGGAGGATCCACCGGCCCGCCTCCGGCCGCCCTCCGCTGCCGGTCCCCAGTCCGGACCGGGATCACCACCGATCACCAGGAGACGGCGCAGGACCACCGGAATCATCCGCTCATCAGACGACAAGCAAACAATTAAACGCGTCTGGGGCGCGGACGGACCGGCGGGCCCGTGGAGCGATGGCGGTCCATTAGGCCCGCGGCCGGCCTCCTTAAACACCCGTCAGAGGGCTGTCGCGCGTCCCCGCTGACAAGAAACGGGTGGGCCGGCCGTGATAGATGGCCCGTGTCGGCCGTCATCGTCTGTGCGCGTAGGCAGCGCTGTGCCATTTTCATTATCTGTCGGTGCGCCTCCGGCCGTGACGGTCGTGCCGATCTGGCCGTCAGGGGGGGGGGGGGGCGTCAGGGGGAGGGGGACGCTACCAACACCGGACCTCCCGTGTCGCGGTCCGGCGACTCGGTCCAGCCGCGCGCCGCGGGGAGCCCGGCTCCGCCCCGCCAACTGACGGCCCACAAAAAAAGGTCGTCTTCGGCGGTCGTCCGCGGCGCCCGGTGAGAAGCTGCGGTGGGTGCGGACCAGCGGTCCCAGACTGCGACCGCTGGAGGACCAGCGGCGCCAGTGAGTGGGAGGGAAGGTGTCACCCGACCAGCACACCAGCGCACGGCGGCTGACGGCCGACAGAAGCCCAGCCAGCTGTGGCTGACCGGCGGCGACCAGTTTTTCATTCAAGCGGTGCCTCGCGGTCCAGCTTCGAGCGAGCGCGCCTAACGATCCCGGCTTCCAGCCGCTGTTTATTCTCTGCGGTCGTCGGCCGTGTCTCCGGAGTGCTCTGCTGGGGACAGCGAGCGCCCCCCGTCGCGCTCCGGCGGGGAATCTAAGCGGGCGCGCACCGGGAGCGGGAAGTTGGGACAAAAGTCCGGGGGTTCAGCTTCGCCCGGCGCCGCGCGCTGTCAACAGCGCCAAGATTTGCGGCTGAAATTAAATCGCTGTAATCTTCTTTTGCTGGGGTCGATTCAGATTCGGCAGCAATTTGTTTGAGTCGAGGAAGAAAATGAGTTGCAGACAAGTAAGTTTCAAAGAAAACGACAGGGCGAAAAATTACACCGGGCCGTGGACCATTTGGGAGAAGATATTCGAAAGAAAAGGAGGCGCTGATTAAAAAGATGCGCTCCGTTGAGCGCCACCTGTTCTGAATATCAAAATGACAACCCGCGACAACTCAGCGTTTTCAGCAATGAGTCGGCCATTCGCTTAGGTCGGCATGGCTTCTGTCGCACCGCCGTGTGAGTCAGTTTTTAACTGCCGCTGGCCGGCCGAACCCGACTGCATTCTTTAAGCGGAGGAAGCGCCTCGGCTTTAGGGGATCCAGGGGCGGGGCTCCGCGCCTTTCCAGGTCAGGCTTTTATTGATGGAGAGCTCGGACAAAAACTCGATCCCGGACCGCGAGCGGCGCGGCGTAAGACCGCAGCGGGATATAACCGCAGCACCGGAAGAGCTGTCGATTCAGCCGCAGCCGTGCCGTTTCCAAGCCGGACGGCGATGGCCGCGCTCAGAAAAAACGCCCCGTTGTCCCGACCCGGTTCGTTATCAGGAGGCTGCGCCGAGAAGCCGGCAGCATCCGTGTCTTCTCGGCTATATCTGTGTTAGGGGGACAGGAGGGCACGGTCGAACGCACGGACCCGCGCTTAAAAAGATATCAACCGCACGGCCCAAGTACGGCGACGTAAACATGTCAGTTGCAGCTGTAAGAACCAGGCCGATATTTGATTGCAATCGTAAAAGTCGGCATTCGCCAGTAAAACTTGATTTACAAATTGGTTTTTGTACCGATCATATGCATACGATTGGGTCGGTCGGAAGGCTGCCCGAGGGAGCGCCGACGCCATTAGGGCGGAAGGGGCACGGCGTCACTGATCGAGTCCGGCCACTCGACGGCTGTAATTGTGATGGAGTGCGCTCACTGTCGGGGGACCGAGCCGGTCAGAGCCTGGTCCCGGCGCGCCACCATGACCGATGGCAGCGCGGGGGCCGCTGCCCATCAGCGCCGTCGTCGCCGACGGGGCGCCCCGGCGCTGCAGCGTCGTTGCAGCGCTACGCTCGCCCTCGCTGCCGGGCGCCGAGCGGCCTCGCCGGCGCCAGCGGAGGGCGCGACCGTAGCCACCCTCGCCAGCGCAGATACGCTGGCGCCGCGAGCGCGTCCGC